ATTTTTATTTACAAATATTGGTCAGTGATTCATTATAATTAGTAAGCAGTGTGAAAAAAGTTTTACTATTTCCTCTAGACAAAAGCGAGAAAAACCTAATTAATCTTGCGCAACATTCTGCTTTCAAAGATTGTTATTTTTAGCCCAATGTTTTATCTAAAGAATAACAATTTTTCAGTAATATTTCATTTTCTCAGGTCTAGTTTTTATAACTCTTTTTAAAGACCTGTAAGTAAAAAGTTTGGAGATGATTTGCACACGATCTTCTTAAAGCTTTCGCACTAAAAACTAGAATATTTTTAGGAAATTTTTAAAACATTCCAATAAAAAAAATTTCTAAAACATTCCGATAACAATAATAGAGTGTAATAGGCAGCCAACCTTACCTTCGTCAAATTTATGACAAGATAGCGTCCCATTGATAGTGCTGAAGTAAAGCATTCAAATCCCTAATGGGATGACACCACATTATCACGAGGAAGAGAATTATTATTATTACGGCAATATTTGAAAAATGAAAGGGAAAAATGAAAGACAAGAACGACTTAAGAAAGGGACTAATGCCATTCATCTATGAAATTATCGATATTTTGCCAATGCTACAAAAAATTCAACATGTAAATTTGTTTCAATTTTGCAAGCAAAATTAAGTTTCAGCTCACTACCAGTAAAAAATGCTAATGAATTCCCGCAAAATAAGCAAATTTCTTCTTTAATGAAATTATTTGGTGTTTACGAATCACTTACAAAAAAGAATTTGTAGCGAGCCAAACATTACTTGTTTGAGCATTATTGCTGAATATATGAAAATTTCATGAGTTTATTCTGTAATAATGCTCAGTTAAATTCAATCCAGGAAGTTTAAGTTGGATCATATAAAGAGTGGAGGAACAAGAAAGGATAATGGACACTTTTTTTTACAAAAAACTGCAAAAATACGACAGTGGTATATCGGAGACAATAAAAGTGAGAGATTGTTGTGAAGCGACGACAACTGTTACGAATCGCGTTTGCCTGATACGAAATACTTGATTTATTTGTTGCAATAAATTATTATTGCACTCAGTGGGTATCAGTGTCACTGACAAATTCGAAATTTGTATTTAAGCTAATGAAGGAAGAAGTATATTTGAAATTGCCTAGCATATCCTTTGTAAGTTGAGAACTATTCCTGCAATTTTTTAAAATTAAGTACTAATAATTAACTAATACAAAAAATACGTCAACTGAAATCATTTGAAAGAGGAAGTAACTGAGATAACATTGTTAGAGTTATTTTGTTATTTGTATATGGGAATTATACTGTGAATTTTGTTTTTTCGAAAGTTATTTTTTGAACAATTTCATGAGTAAAAGGAGAATTGTCGCAAAAAACGTTACCAACAATGCTTACTATCTTGCTATCTCTTGCAGGAATAAATGAAATACAGAAACCAAATGCTTGTTGCAACTTCTGCATTATAAAGAATATTGTCTAACCTAAAATGAAGAATCAAGTAAAGCGTTTATTATTTGCATCCCAAAACCTTCAAAATATGAATAGTTTTGAAAAAATACAAAATACGAATAGTTTTGAAATTTATTGTTGTAGTATTAATAAAAGTCAAAAAAAAGTTCCTAAAGTAGAGAAAAATAAATAAGTCTACACCCGAAAAACCCATTAAATTTAATACAACAATTCTATTGACTTCCTCCCCGAAAATTTTATTGTTAAAACTCATCACTTTCTGAAATGTTTTTTAATATTAATATAGTTTCATCATAATACAATTCATCGAGCTTAGCTCTTTTCTGACACATGTGGAATTAAATATATCATCAATAAAAACCTCTTCCGAATAAAATATAAATTAATCCTCACATTACATGATCAAGAAGAATATTTGAGTAATATTTTGCAAATAATAAACAGTATTATTGAGAAATAATTTCATCACAATAAATTTAAAACCCACCATTCAAAGTATGAAGGACAAAGTTTCATTGCAACTATTCTTATTACTCCATCATCATCTTCACGATACGATGAAGATACAAATGGAAGTATAATTGGTCAGGGATTTATGAAACAGAAAGCTAAATTCATTTTGGTATTCTTGGAGAAATTGTTAAGGCGCGATCGACCATACTTCAAGCATAGCCATGAATATATGAATAATCTCTGTAGACTTATTTGTGATCAAAAAGATCAGTTATCTTCGATTTCGATTCGCTATCATGCATCACAGGATGGCGGAGCAATCGATTTTTTGGATCAAATGAAGTTGAGAAGTATCGAAAAATTTTGCGGTTTTGAAGGTGTATTTTCTAAAAAAACTTTTCATAATTTATCCTCATTATTGGTCACTTTATGATTGTAACATATGTCAAAATTTTAAGAATTATTTTTTGTGTAAGACTGGGACGTCCGAAGTGCTCAGGTGAACGAAGTCACCACAGAAAGTACATTAATAAAAATTGTAAGAGAAATGTGTTTTGAAGCGGTGCGCAATTTTCTACTGTTCATATGTTGCAAATAGTAAAAGTTGTCGTAGAGAAGAGAAGCGACGCCTTTTAGAAAGTGTTCTGTGTTGCATTCGGCTTTTATGCCAATACAAAAAAACGTCAAGTAACATACTGATGGTATAATGCTATTCGATGTTGAAAATGGTACAAGAAAAACAGGATTCATTTTCTGCCCTCTTCTCCTAGCTCTCACTTTTTCTTTGTAATTCTGAAAACCACATGGGGCAGTTTTCCAAGATACTCTACGCTCCAATGATGAATTTTGTACACTACTGCAAATATCTGACTGAATTGTAGCAAAATATGAAACCGCCGCATAACTATGTGCCGTTTTAATTTTAATTTGAATACTCGAATCTCAAACCTGCATTTTAGAATTGAATGTTGTGAAATGTTGTGTTTTGGATTATGAAACTTCGGTTTGGAATACAGTGAATTATGAAATTTCGGTTGTATTTGAATACAATGGTATTTTATCGGCACAAATCAACAACTAATGATTTCAAAAGACTGTCCAGTAACAAATCGAAATTCCCGTGCTATACTCAAAATGAAAAGTAATAATAAATAAAAAAGACTGCCGATTTTTCACATCCAAAAATGTATTCTGACTCGATATCAAACTCAGTAAATTGAAAGGATTTGAGCGAACAAAAGTCCCATCTGTTTCTAGAATGAACAGATTTTTTGAATTTAAAGGAAAAAGTTACATTGAAAGACCGAAAGTTCCGAATGAACAGAAACATTTCAAATATTCTGAAGGGCTCATTTTTTCCTGATTCATCTGTTTAGTAAACTAACGCACTTCCTTTCTGGTCAATCTCAAGTGCGCTATTACACAAAAAATGCAAGAATGAAGTTCAAAAGTGTTGTATTTCTTACAGTGGTCCCGACAACTCGAATGTTTTCAGATAAAATATATCTACACATGAAATGATCTCCCATCAGACGTAAAAGAACTACACGAAAAGCAGGAGGAAGAAAAGGGAAAGAATGTATCGACCATATCAATTAGAAGGGATCTTTTTTGTCACTTCTGACTTAGATTCGCCCAAGAAAGCATCCTTGTTACTACGACCCCAACCAACACCATGTTCTCCAGTCAGACTAAAACTGATGATATCACTATACTGTTAAACAATAAGTTATGTAAAAAATATAAGTATTTGATCTTACAATCTTGCACGATAACAGGATGTCATATTTCACATTTTAAAAAGCACTGACCAAAAAGCCCCATCGAAATCTTCAATACCATATTTTTCTATCCTCGGCTACAATACAACAAATGGAGCATAATTATATACCTCCAACACACGGAACAATTTAAGAGCATTTTGAGCCAGCAAAAAAGGCTGAAATCCCAAGAATCCCACAGAGCTTCCTTTAAACTACAAGTCACTTACTGGCACTGGTGCCTACACACGCATCCACAAATGGTTGCTTGAGAGAATATGCAGCCACACCTGTGTAGTTGGTGCATAACACTTTCTTTACATCCAAAGGTCCACTCTCATTAAAAATAAGAAAACTTTCTTTTTCAATAATTAACGTTTATGCCCAGATTCAAAACCGAAACTCATTCAAAATAATCACTGTCGTACACTGTGAAAGCAAAAGTAAAACATCATAACAAGTAGTAATAAAAATTTGGAATTGACCCAGATAATGGAAGTTGGCAAATAAAAAGCAATAAGAGCTGGAAGCCATTTCAAAAACTCAGTGATTAAAGAGATCCCATGAAATATAACATTTTCTACAAATTACAAAGTGACATACGAAAATCGTCGAGACCTACGTCAACTACGTCCAGTGAAATAGTAGACTTATTCAGATCACAGATAGGACAAATTGAAGAATCTTAGGCCACTAGCAATCCTCACTTTCTCTAAACTTTTTTCCTAGGAATTCACATCATACCATAAACTTCAACATAATACAATAAAAAAATATTTTACAATTACAATTTGGGACACCGACAATACAAGTCAGAGAAAAAGGCTTCAAGACAAAATTCTTTGTATATTCGCAAAATAATATTTATTGAAAAAATGAGGTGCCCAAAAAGTCATTTAGATTCTAAAATTTAAAAGTAATGACAAAGTAATAAAATTTTAAAGTATGAACAAGTTATTCTTTCGGTAATTTATTCATGGTTACTGCAAAACAAATTTCTGTAAATCTTTTAAATTTTCATTGTTCACAGAACATTTTCATTGTTCACCAACCATTGTAACGCATTTCACTATAACAACTACTATAAGTAGTAGCTTATATAAATCTATGTGACAAAAAACTAAGAATGAATGAGATCAGTGGTTGCTGGATAGTTCTTTATAATTCCTAAAAGCAATCGCACATGTAGGATTAAAAAAAGTCGAAACACATGCAAATCGACTCTTACACTACAGTATATGGAAACTCGGCTTTTAGCTAGGTTGACAACAGCAGTAAAATTTACTCTTATTTGTTTTGATTAACAAGATCCTAGCTCCTTACCCAAGTGAAACATCAGAAGACATCGACGAGTAGTTGAATTGACGTTGTTGTTGAGCAAATTTAATTGATGAGATAAAATGATTATTTGGTAACAGTACATGTCTCATGTTTTCCATTGATGACGAATCTATCGCGGAAACAATTCTACTGTTCGTTGGCACTCGCAGTTGTTGAGACTCTTCACCATTGCATTCCATTGTTGGATCAATACGAATCGGACGAGTGGTCTTAGTCTGAAAGCAAAAGTTGAGCAGCAATTGAGCAAAACTAGAAGCAAATTTGTCTAGCTTCTCAACAATCGGGATCATGTCTGTCATCTTAAAACAGTAAATTTCTACATACAGAATTACCCCTGAATATTGGGCTGTTAATATCTGCTGAAATATAAGTCACTAATAGTTGACAATAGGAATGGAAATTACAGCTTCAATGTATACAACTCTAATGAGATAAACCATTTTAAGTAACTATGTTGTGCACTAAAATCCATTTCAGGATACATTGTTCTTTAATATATTAAAAGTTTCATTCGTTTGAAATTGATCATGAAAAAATCAAATATATATGTAGGCGTATAGGCACAGCAAAAGATCATTATGTACCTTTGAATAGGATGGTGGAGGGCTGTGGGTTCTGATGCCCCCAGTACGAGCACGATGTCGTTGTTTTCGTTTATTTCTAGCAGAACCTGTACCACCACCACTATGCTGCAAACGAACCCGCATTCCAGCTGGTTTTACAACACCATACGTCGACAAACTAAATGACCGATATTGCATTTAGATGACATACCACTTAAATTATATTTTTAAAGCCATGTTTCTTTAATCTATTTATAATTCTTTAACAAATTCAAATTTTCAGTTTACAGTCTTTTTTACCGATTTAACGGCACTAAATCAAAACTAGTAACAGTGCAATCAGTCAAAATTCCGAACTTCAGGTAAGGATGTTAAACTATAATTACCTTGCAGCAGAAGGCGGTGGTGCAAAAAATTTTCGAGAATTCGCTTTAGTCAAAGAAGCGGTAATTGCAGCAAACATGGAACTTCTTTCTGTAGGGTTACCATTAAGCGATCGATGATATGAAATTGCATCAGTTGAAAATTGTGAATTTGGTGGAGGCAATGCGTTATACAGCGATGATGACGCTTCCACAGAGAAGGCACGAAGTTGGAACTAAAAAAAAACGACATGAAGCTTGTTATTTGCAAATAATTTATCTGAGTAAACTGAGTTATGATAGAAGGAACTCCTTTAGATTTCAAGGTCTCTTTAACGACATACCTCAATCTGTGTACCATCTGGATGTGCTGGCAGTAGTACCCGTGCCTCAGCATTCATCGGCAGTGAACGTGTTGTTGCTGCATGAGCTGAATTTTGTCCTAACGGTCGTTGTATTGAAAAATGGCAGCAGCACACACTCACAATGATGCTGAGTGCCAAAAAAAACACGGCCAACGGTATAATCAGTTCAAATGAAGGTGAGAGAGCTGGAGCAATAGTTACTGCCGCACCAAATTGAGCACATAGCTAGAAACTCGTTTAAAGCGAAGATGATTTCTGTATTTAACGATATTTTAATGAACTAAAAATCTTTGCCTTTCAAATATTTTAAACGAGTTCCCTAGATTGATAAGAGTTTTAACCTGTTTCTCTTCATCCTGACCAGCATAACAGTTACGGATACCATTACAGATTAACTCTCGACTAATACATTCAGCTGGATGCAATTCCGTATTTGGTCCAAAGGTACAATCGAAATTAAAAAGAGGATTAGTACACCGGCAGTGAGCCTCGTCTGATCCGTCAGCACAATCTTTTGCTCCTGAATAAAGAATACATCAGAAATTCAACATTTCCATACAAGCAGATTTTCAAACACTATATTGAAAAAATAAATAAATAACCGTTACAAATAAGCGATCGGGAAATTGATGCTTTCCTGTTGTCACATGGCCACTTATTAAAGGCAACATTGCCACACCAATGCGAAGATTCATCACTACCATCAATGCAATCATGATGTCCATCACATTTTGCCATTGCATGTATGCATTCTTGTCCATTGTCACATTTAAATTGCCAATGTAGACACGACGCATGTTTAAAACAAGAAGTTTCACTGAAATTATGACTTTAATTTCGAAATGCTGCAAATATAAACATGGTATTGCTCAGTCAAATAGAAAAACCTGACCTTGGAGCTTGTAATCCAAATCCAAGAGGACAGAGACATTCATGACGTTTCTTGGAATCTCGCGGTACTCGACACAAATGCGAACAATGTGATGCCGCACAAGTGTGATTCAAATTTATATAAAAGTCCCTTTCGATGCTGCCAACTACTGTCAATGCAAGAACACGTTTGACTGATAAAGGTGACGGTGTGCTCCACTTCAGTTCATCCAAGGAAACAGTGGGAATATCATCCATCAATTCCAACAACAGATCATCATATCTACAATTGCAAAAATAGGAAAAATTAGTCGTTATATGACTGGAATAGATAGTAATTAAACTAAAGATTAACTCTGACTGGGATTCATTCTTGGCAATAATTATTAATTTCTTCTCATTGATTGGAACCATATCAATATCCGAAGGCCGTGCTTTGATGTGATGACGTACGTCCGAAAACACATGTGCATCGCGTGACCACAATCCTAAAAACAAGTTGAATTTGTTTGTATCCACTTTTTGATGTATAATTTTTCTGTGCAGTATCGACCGATCTCAGCAATTAGCAAAAAATATTCCCCTGTTATTCTAAACCTATTTTACTGCATAAAATATTAAATCATAAGTCTAATGGACACACAAAACCACCAAACAACGGTCGAGTATCACCTATGAAATAGTGAGATTATTTTCTCGATTTCAAAACTAACTTTTTTTTCACGACAAGATGTGACATGCTGAACATGCAGAACTAACCGCTTGCAGTTGTATAGTACAAACGGTCGTTGATTTGATAAGCATGAAGTTTCACGGTATGTGTTAAATTTGGTGCTTCCCACTGTACGCACTGACGACCGTTCAATGAACACCGAACAATTACGGGAATGAAACTACCATCGTCAACGTAGAAAAGGAGGCTGAAATAACTCACCGTCAATACGAGTCCAAAAACTTAATGATTAAACTAAAAGCAAAAATTAAAATGATGAAAGCACCGTAAAGTGACATACTTCAATCTAGGAAAAAGAGCAATTTGTCGAGGATAAGGAGGTCGATCAGTCACTGGAGAACGCTCTCTTCCTGACACAACAACGCCGATATATTCCAAATGATCATTACTCTGAAGAAATTCTTTGTTATGACAATCAAATGCTAAACATGTAAACACGAAGTACCTTTATACGCCAAACATGAATGGATGATGCATGGCTAAGCCCATGTTCTGCACATGAAACAAATAGCTGTCGACCAGCTTCATCAACTGCTAAATGGAAAAGTATTGCACAGTTCGAACGTCTCGATAATGCAATTGTCTGCGTCTAAAAATAATTATCGATATTGCAATAACATGAACTACGAAATACTCGATTTCTGATAAAGTTACTTTTAATCCCCCAATAACTTTGAAAGTGCAAGGAGTGATAAGAGCACATACTATGGAATGTGATAAATCTGATGATCGTTTAATAACTTTGTCATCATTAGAATCAATCCAGTAAATCGAACGATTTGCAGAGAATAAATCAACACCCACTGAAACTGGTGTACCAACATTTGTCACTGACAGAATTGAATAAGGATCCTGAAATCATACTAAATCATAAAATTCGACAATTCGATTCTTTTAGAAAATTGTAAATATGAATGCATACATCTTTCCAGAATATGTCACCGGTAACCGCTTGTCTCAGGTTGAAACGTATGAAACGACCTCGAATGGCGACCAAAAGAAAATGTTTTGGTGCTAAAATAATATATTTTAGAAAAATATAAATTAACGTCCCCACTCAGAATATGAGCTCTACTTTTTTACTACCTTTCTTAATTTCACTAATTTTTGTAAATGAAAAAAAAAGAAAGTAACTTACGCAAGCACCTTCCTCCAACGTGATCAAACGTAAAGTGGTCCTCGCAAAAACATTTTGCACTTGCGTTGTATAAACTTCCGCCAGCTGCCACACATATATCACTACAGCCACCATTGTTTTGAACACAACCATTCCAACCTGAAGGGGACAGGTAATCCATAAATTATGAATATTTCAAATCAAAAAGTATATAAACGTAAGATGCTTAAGCTCTTAATTCAACATTTAAATACAATTCTGAATTTTGTTCAAACTCTTCCTGCGTTGCTTTCCATCCATTCTATTTAGTCACTATGTAATAAAAAGGAGTATCAAGCCAGCTCATACGCGCTACACACAGCAAAACTGTTTAACCAATTCTCAATTTTCTTTAAAAAAAAAAAAATCGTCTACCTTTATTTATCTGTGCATGTGCAACAGCAAGATTTGTAACATGGCTGACACCATCATGTAAAACTGTCAATGTGTGGCCGTTATATAGATCAATGGTATTGCTATTCATATTGGCAATGTAGATTTGTCGATTATAAACAGTTAATGCAGCAGGTAATAACTGTTCACTATATAATACACGAGCACGACTTTTCCCTGTAAATGACTTCATTTACCACCTCGAAAAATTCATTTCCTAGATGCATTGAAACATGATAACATCAATTTCAGTACACAATAGCAATGTGTTGTACTAATAACAACAATGAAAACAATGATAGCTGTCACAGATTTTTCTTTTTGTACAGCAAAATGTACATCACAGTTCACTGAAGCACGGAATGCACTGGATTAACATCACAAACTGAATCGGCATCATTACGTAATAGCATATCCACTACTGACTCAAAAATCCAAAATCTATATTATTTTCTAGGGAGCAAAAAACATACCACTGAAGTCAGAAATAGAAACTCCACCTCCTCGTTCGTCCAGTTCTGACCACACCAACAATTCAGAATCAAAATCAATCGCAAGTGCATTAACTGTATCCAACTGTTGAACAATAACTTGGCCTCCTGATTGCTCGCCATAAAGAGGTATCTTCTAATTATGCAATACTTAGTAAAATGTAAAACAAGAAGCCTAGGACGATTTCAAATGAACCATCTTCAAAGAATATTTTTAAGGGCAATTAACAAACAGACAAGAACTACACCATACAACACCAAGGACAACGTAAATTAAAAAAGAAGGTCAACCTCATAATATAGAATTCTTGGATTAAAAGTGAATGCACAAAATTTAGGTCTTTCACTAACAAAATAAAAAGACTATAAACTAAAATGCATTTACATTTATAGTGATTTTCTGTCGGTTGTAATAATTAACAAAAACAAGAAATCGCTGGAGCGGATGGATAACTAAATATCGCGGATCTATATTTTCCCATGCAATTGTACGATGACGACGTCCGTCGCCACGAACCATTTCAATTCGACGCTGTTCCATATTACACCTTAAAGCGACTAATATTACATGAGGAGGAGGCATATGGCAAAAACACGCTGCCGATATTTTATTTCTGCTTTGTTTTTTCTACTTCGTACCTAGCCATTTATAACTGCTACAAATAAGAGTTTTCAACAGATTTCGGGTTTCTAAATCCGAGGCCAGATTTCCACACCTTTTGTGCAAGAAATCAGCTATCTGACATGATGAAAATTTTAGAAAGCAAGCATATAAACCTGATAACATCAAAATTCGATTCAAAGACGACTGATCTTTATGAACGCTGAAGAAGGTTACGAGAAGAAATTACTCCCGTTCTGTGTTAAAATCAGCACATTTCTTCAAGTCTCAAAACACTGTCACTGTCTAACCAATAAATATTTGAAGTGATCCAGTCCACCGCAATATAATTCACTGCATTTCCTTCATACACAGTTTCCAAACCAGAGCCGTTAAAAAATGCGCTACGAAGCAGTGAACGAATCGGACGACCACGTCCTTCTGATGACCAAAAAATTCTCCGAGAATTCTAAAAAAGGTAGCACTACTGACACAATTTAACATATGGCTGTGAAAGCATAACATAAAATTTTATGAATGCCTAAGGAACAAATCAAAAAAAAAAAACAGAATAATTGGACAAATAATGCAATTGTAAATCTCTTTAAGGATAGAGTCATATTCGGTGATCAACTACCAGATAAAGTATCACGCTGAGATAAAGTTGTGTTACTTACAATATGAACTGAGTCAGTTACCTGATTGATATCAATACTAACTGGGGCTGATGTCATATCAGCAATATTAATACGGTGATTATTAGCTGAAGCTGCCTCCAAAGAAATTCTCATAATGCTATTAGCTGTGCTCATTGCGGGACTTTGCGTGTAGATCAGAAATGCAGCGGGCATAATGCATGTTGTACTGTCTGATTGCAATTCATAGCCAACTGGACAAATACAGCCCCTTTTGCCATTTGGTCTGCAATAGACATATCATTCATCAGCTGTTCACAAAACAGTCTTTTAACTTGTTCACCTATTCAAGAGAAACAGTGGTTCAACCAAATTAGCTATGAAGGTTGTCGGGAGTAACGTCCCCTTGACAGATGTTTCATGGAAATTTGTGACAAACCTGCATTACTTCAAAACTATAATCGAATTCACAAACTCACAATTTGACACAAATGTGCGAACATCCACCGTTGCTTGTTTGACATGGAGAAATTCCCTCTGGAATATGATTCAAACTAACCGCTCGAATACCCATCTGACCAAAGATAACAGAATCAGATACCACAGACAACTGTACATCGAAGAAAGATTCATTGTGTCGAGGTACACGAAACATTGATATCTTACGACCATACAGCGAATTGCAATATAACGAGTTACCTGCAAATGAAAATCTTATCAAGTTAAATAAAATGTAGCTTTTTTAGAAATTAAGATGGGATGTGAAGACTTATAACTTCGATATCAGTTCCTCGATTAATTAAAGGGATTTGCTTTCATCGTCATACACAACCCCATGTTTCGAGAGACAAAATGGATATCACCGTGCCTACGGTAATGTGAAGTAAGACCCAACACTCCAACTCCCTCACTCCCCATCAAATTTTGGTCAAAATAGCTGCCAGAACATTATCTACACAACAAACCTAATATAGTAAGCGAATAGGGATGGTTCACACTTTCTGAGAAAACCTGAACATCCAACTTCCCGTCAAGAGTTATCGATTTAATGAATGATCGACTTCCTTCTGCCCAATACAACCGTTTATGTCTTGTATCAACCACAATTCCATTTGGCCAGGCATCTTTCTCCAGCGAAACCTGAATATTTACATCGCTATGTAAATGATCTAAGATGATGATGTACAACAGAAACACTAACTAGAAAGCAAATTTTTTGAAAGAGAACAAAAACATACAAGCACTCGTCTGTGTGAGCCATCTAGCCAAGCTTTCTCAATACGACTCGTACTTTCGTGCCAGTCTGAAAAAAACATATAGCCACTATCTGGATCCAAAGCTAAACCACGTGGCTGTTTCAATCCGTGCGATATTACTATTTGTCGTCCTCTGCTAGACAAGCTTTGCATCTAAATACAAATAAAAATTTTTACGCAGTTTTAAATACAACATAACCAGCCAAAATGAACAAATGTTCAACAAAAGAGAACTGTAAACTCCATAAGGTGAAGGTACTAAAATGAGATATTGCCGAAATATGGTAGACAACTTCAAACCGAGAACGGACTGTTCATAGCAGTCGCTACGAATGTGTGACAGTTTAAACGATAGGTGAAGTGAACAACAGATGGCAATATTTGATTTTAATCTAATTGCCACAAGACTTCTAAAGTAACAAACAGACAGTCACTACAAAACAAATGCATCAACAACCTTGATTTGTGCAACGTTGCTATCTAACCAATACAGATTACGATTCAACCAGTCAACAGCCAGAGCATCGGAAACTAGCTTATCGGAATCCTCGACAAAAATCTGGAAACAAGAGACATCAACGTTTTTCAGCAATAATCGAAACCGCAATAAACATTCAAAATATATTTGTTCAGGTTAATTTCATAAGCTAAAAAAATTTCTATAAACTTAATAAAGAAATAACCTCCATTTCTGTGCCATCTGGATTACACCGCCGTATAACACCGATATCTCCGTCAATCATGAAAAGCTTCTTATCGATTGGGTCAAAATCGATATGCACAACTTTAGTTTCACGTACCTCAGATGCCATATTTGGAAGTGGTAGAGGTGTATGATGTGCTGTATCTAATGAAATAAATATTAAGCCTGACGTCGTCGCTACGTATAGCAAACGTTCTATCCCTGAAATTTCGAACAGTAGAAATTAAGATTAAGATTAGCATGTCGGAACACTTTCTGATATAATTTACATCAACTTTACAATGCATCGTGAAGCATATAAAAATCTGAAAGAAAATGGAAGAAACCATGATCAATCCTTACAAAAGGTAGGTTTTTGAGTACTCTAATGTCAGGTAAAAATGCGTCACAGATCATAATATAGCGTTCATCTACCAAAACTGCAGAATTATTCCGAAATTTATCACTCATAAATGTATATTGGTATCATGAAGTGATTTAATGAGCCATAGAAATAAATATTAATAAAAATTATCAGTCACCATTAGGTGAACAAGTTAAACGATCTTGAAGAAGACGGACTCCCACCGGGCACAGGCAAGATCGCCATGGTGCACCAGGAATCAGTACGCAGATGTGTGAACAGCCACCATTTTTTGATCCGCAAGGATTTAAAGATTGTCCTGAAATAAAAGAAAGAAACATTCTGATGAAATTAATCTTCAAAGTTGACACCTCTAAGTTTTTTGGAGTACACATTGATACCTTCATGTCAGCAATATTGAGGACTTCAAATAAATCAGTCTTGCAATACACGTAAGCACTGAACCGATCTAGAAGATAGTGTACAGAAACTTACTTAATGGCTGGACCTGTTTATCGAATACAATCAGAGCTTCAACACCACTTGAATTAATCACTTCACGAGTTGAATGATCACAGTTGACTTTCTCACACACTGTTATGCCGGAATTCTGATTTGTCACTGATGTCCACATCAAGTAATCCTTAATTGTCTTTTTATTAAAGCGGGGACACAGGAAAAGCAGATTTTATATCTCAAAAATATTGGCGGAAAAGACATTCAATTAAAGAAACTTAATGCGGTTATTTACATGAATTTACAATCAAAGATTTTTATACAAGAATAAAATGATTTTTGAACCAACTACCTACACTGAAAGCATCAAGGTAGAAGGCGTTGACCTTACTGGCAACTGCTCGGCACGATTCACGATCATATAATGAACAGCTCCAAATTTGCGAATCATCTAAGGATGTCCGTGTACGAACATAATACAACACTCGATTTGCCTTAAAATATATGAATTTAAAGTAAGAAATGAGCTAAAATCAGTGGACTACCTTTATCCCTAGCTGCAGGTATTCTGATAACTGAGTAACACTTCGACATTTTTATCAATCAAATGCCTACAATGGAATACGACTGCAACTGAGATTGTAACCTCTTTCACCAGATCAGTACTTCTCCTTCCAATATAAGGCTAATATCAACAAATCTGTTGAAATGAACGATCAAACCAATCCTGTTTATTACTTAGTTATATTAAAAAGAAATAGTCTACAGCACCTAATTACTGTTATGTAAAACAATTTTTATAAAAATTTATAATTGTACATCTTGAAAAATGGATTCACCTGTTCAAGCGTAAGAGCAGATGTAGCAACCACGTCAGTGGTATCATCTTTGAAACAATGAGGGTCGTGATGTCGACCATCCATCCATGCTCGCTCAATACGTTTATGCACACGATTCAACCAGTACATATAGCTGTCAAAAAAGTTGGATATGCAGAAGTGACAAATTTTAACAACGAAATCCATTTGAATTTAAAAACGAAAAAGACTGATTCAGCAGGATTCAAGTGAGCAACGAGTAATTGATACGCAGTACTTCTTGAAATAAACATGATTTTTTAGTAGGTTGTACAATGATAAATTGGAACAAAGGTATTACCCGTCAATTGGGTCAAGCACAAGAGAATGAAGAGCATCAACTCGAGAATTCTGATTTTCAAAACTGGAGTGCAATGCAATAGCACAACTAGTCTGGCCATCCAAAGGACATACTTCAATGCGTCCAGCATTATGTATGCTAGCTGTTTCAACACCGACATATCTTAAAAATGTTTCCATAGAAAAGATCTTGCTTTCATTGCAGAAAACATAGGCTTTTTAATATAAATTTACTAATGCACTTTAGTCATATCAACTTCCACAACATTTTCTTGATTGTGACTACTCTGGAGAGCGCAGCGCCTCTTTACTACGTAATAAAAAAAATTTTCAGTGATTTCTAAAAAGTATACTTGAGAGATTTTCTACCAAATTGGTTGTCCACACCATTTTGGTTATCTTGTACAGACAAGCACTCTACAAGCATCCACAAGGAGAGTCTTTGACAAGGAAGAAATCAAATTTAAAGAAGCACATTCAACATAACGTATTGCACTGTGGAAGAGATATTTGAGTTCAAGGCTCAGCTAGCTTAATATTTTTCAAATATTCCTTTCTTCATGGTGCAGTCTGTTTCCGTGAAAAATGACAATACCAATGCAAAAACAACATACAGTTTGCCAGTTACCCAGTCGACAGCAAGTGAAGTGACTGTTTCCTCAACAACACCACCACTGCGATGTATGTATGATGGAACTGTGTTATTATCATCCAAAGCAATCAAGCGGATGTTACCACTAGATGAGCGCAGCCAACTTTCCATATAGGCCAAGATGTTCTGTAGTAAGATTTGCTTGCAGTTAAAGTTTGATATTGATTTATAATAAATGCAACTGGAGATTAAATATTTCACAAAATATATTTCTTATTATAAAAACTAGTGAAGTCATAAAATGTACTCAAGTTAGTAAGTACTGGGCAATACATGTTTTTTTCTACGATGTTTTTTTCTGCACTATTCTAACAACTACAAAGAAAAAATTTCGCTGAATGGAGCATATATCACACAGATCATTAAAATATTAGATGAAATACAACACCTCAAACTTTCTCTTCATCAACTAGCAATCGAAACTAAAGTCATATACACAGGAAATGACATTACATACATACTTGGTTAACTAATCAAGAGACCATAACAAATTTGGGTATTACTGCTACCGACGAATGGTCTAACTATACAGATTCCGCCCTCCCTCCAGTCGATTTTTAAAAATATAATAAATTCGAACTCTGCCAATATCCAACGCGATGAGAACAGGAAATGATTCATCAATACCAGAAACGATTTCTGTTGCTGACGTGATCGCAGTTTTGTCGATGTCCAGTGTTAATTGTGTGATAGTTCTCCGCTGTCGAGCTAACACCGAGATTTTTGTTAACACTGCTAGAAAAGTATAAAAATGGCTGCACGATATTTGCTTTCAATGCAGCAAAATCATGCTTTGTTCCTCTGAGCATTACAGTTTGGTTTCTTCTGTAGTGGGGTATAGTTGAAATTAAAGAAGCGACTCAAACATGAATAATTAACGAACAGCTACATTTTCCATTCCGGCCCTCACGATATATTTAAAATAAATTAAACCCATGAAACGTCACAGAATAAGTAACAAATAACCTCGTTCGACAAGAGCATAATACAGAGCGATCGCAAAGAGATTTGCTTTCATGTCATTTCATCGGCTATGAAATTCAGTGTGTTGAACTATTAAAGACGAAAACTGAAAAATGCTATATGTGAAAGAAGAGAAAGCAGATTGTAGCAGCAAGCAAATTTATGACTTGCACTTGACGTCATCTCTAGAAGGCCTACGTATTGCTTTGACGCAGATTCATCCCACAGCTGAAAGAGCCATTACACTGATTTGACAGCCCCAAACCCGATACAAAGCTCGATGCTTCAATATATAAGGATTAACCCTTCCACACTTCAGTCATCGCCGTCTTCACGCCGGAGAATTATCTATTTGCATACTCCTATCAACATCTTCTATTTAGCGGTGGCACAGCTTTTGATCATAAAGTAGAAGGTGATAGTTGTGAGTTTAGTGGGTCAAGCAGGTTAACAATCTAAACTGTACTAATTTAATCACAGATCTCACCATCATCACTTTCCAGGAAGAAATGAATGGATTTGCAAGTAATTTTAAAATGACTATCTTTGTTTCCACTATACGATGACCTTTTCTCTTGCTAAGAATTTTCAGTAAGAGATAAAAGCTTCCTTCAAACTTGTCAAGACTGTTTGCTATTTTTTTTTGTTTTTTTGTTGTTCCACCAGAATTTTGGTTTGTAAGAGAATATGTTTGATGGACACTGTAGATGACTTTAATACTTCTCATTTATCTTTGAACTAAATATTTTGAATAATAAGAAAGATACAGTAAAAACAAAGCAGCTGACAATAGCAACAACACTGTTTTGACATAAATTACTGAAATAAAACATACAGTACGAAAGATCGATATTGTTTTTTTTTAAATCACCAAATCAAAATAAAAAAAAGTGTTAAACAGGCTGGCTGCTTAACACTTTTTTACAAAGAACAGTTGAACTATCTTGAAATTTTTGGAAATTTTATTCAATCAGAATTACCTTTTCAGACTAAATATGCAAGGGTTCTTCTCCAAAAATTTATATTTCTCAAAAAATACGACAACTTCATTAGTTTGCTAGCATACATATATCATTCATTAAATATAAAAACTAACTGCAGCTGTGCTGCCAAACAAATTTCTTTAGAATAACAATATGTTTTCATGATTAAACACCTTTCAAGTATTTAAAAAAAGAACTAAAAATTAATATTTATTGGTTACCCATCTTTTGGGCACATCCGTGTTTGCTTGGATCTAGAATGTCGTTTTTTTTTTTGTCAGTTGATAAATCAGGAGGGTCCAACATATCTACTATCTTAGTTTCACTATCTGCAAATATTTTACACTATAGTGTATAATTATACAATGAATGAAGATGTTTGCCCCGTGGATTCGAATGGATTTTTAGGAATAATGGATCAGACAAAACTGCACTAATGAATGTGTCATTTTAAAATACGACGAATGTTGTGATAAAACATGCTTTCAGAAGCTGAAAAGGCATAATGTGCTTATAGGACGATAAACAACATGGTCAGAGTGTTGAAGGAGATGGCTAACATCGTAACCTATGCAAAATGGAGATGCACTGCAGTAAATGGCAAGAAAGACCTGTCTCGATTATTTTGAAAGTGATTGAATAGAAATATGACGGAAAATTGAACTTGGAATAATAAGAGTGTTCATTTGGATGTAATGAGTGAGATTTTTGCATGATTAATGTAAAATTCTTGTCGTGAAATAGCAAATTAGGACCTCAAAAATAATCAAACGTACAGCATATCCATCAGTTTTACTGTTATTCGAACTACCTTTACTGATATTTTAAACATTTAAGGCTATGTTATGTTTGTCTATTAAAGGTTATGTTTTTTTCTGTCATACAGATAGAATCTGGTGGTATCTACAGTGGAATCTCAAATAGCAATGCAGACAATACCACCCGCTTACCTCTTTATCACCTGTTCATATAATATGGCCGAAATCCCTTATGATCAAAATATCCAAACAAAGTTTATTTAATGGTATTTTCAAGAATCATATTTGTTCTATTTAAAGATATTAAGAAGTATAGGTGAGATTTGTAATGGTACAGGAGGATAGCGCTTCAAATACGACCGATTTCGCATTGCGAATAGATAAAAAAGAACTGAGGAGTTGAAATGACAAAAGAAAATGTAATTAAACATACAAATATACAGAACTTACTGAAACTTGTTGGGTGCTCTTTTTCACACGTTCCGCTAACACTGTCAGAGGCTTTTGGTTCCGTATCTGATTTTTTCTCCAGTTCTTGCTCCATTTCAATAACTGAACATAGTTAACTCATTTCTTCCAAATAAACTCCAATTTAATATTAGTAATAATAATAATATCCGTACAGGTTTTTATGTTTCTGAGTTTCTTTTCAGCTTCCATGACAGCTTCCATTATGACCATATTGCCTATCAAAGGTTTCAATTGCCCTGGGATGATGTGAACTGGCCAGTATTTTGCAGCTAAACTTGCACTCATGTATGCTTCTTCTTTGAAATTTCTAAATTGTGGACAATTTTGGCATTTTGGCATTTTTTACGAACAATTTAAAAAATAAGAGATAAATAACATTAAAATTATGAAACTATGTTTTAATATCTATGGATTTGTATTCATATTTTGGCTTGTAAATATTTAAGGCTTCTTTAGAGTCACAGTGTGATGAAAGAGCCACTGTTAGCCATCCTTAGAAGAGTTAGAAATGTATTGAAACACTAAGGTGAAAAGCAAATAGTATCAAATATATGAGCTAGTTTCAGTAATGCAGTATTGCTCAGATATAACTGAAAATAAGTTACAGAAAAACTGGATAAGAAAATATGGGAAGTTAATAACTGCAAATTACGTAATGATAGGAATTGACTGTATTTATTTGGAACAAGTGATGCAATAAGCTTAATTAGAAGAGACTGTAATAAAAAAGAACGAGTAACTTAATACGGGTAAAGGAAATACTGGTAGAGACTTATAGGGAGGTATCAAAAGTAGATAATAAGAAAAAGGAGATGTATGGGAAAATGTAAAGATTAATTGAATAATAAACTGAACAAAGAAATCATCGACCAATGATAGAAAAGCTAACAAGAGAAAATTAATTATAGATGAGATATGTGATTCCAAAAAGGACTTTAAAAAAGGAAATGGAATGATTGTCAGTGGTGTAATAAAAGCAGGCATTAAGCACTGTTTATTTCGAAACAAAAACCAAAAGAAAAATCAACTGATAGCAAATATCGGTTTTTTCTTAAGAAAACTTTGGGATCATATCAACAGTTGCAGAAAATTGCATAAACCGGTGAATATTATCATATTATTATCTTATGACCTTATCTTATGGATATTATATCTTACGAATATTATCTTGTGAATATTATAAATATATCTCATGAATATTATTATCTTATGATGAATATTATCTTAGGCAGATGTAGTATGAAAAACTTCAGAATTACACCTTGGATAACGCCAAAAAATACATACTAATTCGAATTTTCATGTTAACTGATTATCTAGAGGAAAACAGCAAAGAAAATAGAAAATGTCGGGATTTAAAATAAGAAATCATGTGGGTTTTTGAGCAAAAATAGTGATAATTATACTAAAAAGATAGGGACAACTAACACAATAGCAAAGTAGTTGGAGAAGCCTACGGAGGCAATTAGGATAGATTGACAATACAACAACTGCAGAAGGTAGATGACTCCTGGAAGAAGAGCAGATACTAAGAAAACCTTAGCTTTTTGAGTTAGAACTGAAGTAGTAAAACATTAAAAAAGTAATGATAATAATAATAATAATAATAATAATAATAATAATAATAATAATAATAGTAATAATAATAAATGGTTGAAAAATACCAGCAGGGATGAATTTAATTATGCAAGAAAAATAAAAATTGAAATATACTAACAAATATTCGTAGAAAGTAGCAATGTTTAAATGTAAACGGAAATTTTCTGGGTCATATTCAAGTCCTTCTTCGGCTACAGCTATGCGATTTAGAATATCTTCCGTATCGATATTTTCTCTTAGAGTATATTCATTTTTGCTGAAAATCATTGTATAATCTGCTTCATAGTTCAAAACATTAAGCTGTTACTTCGAAATAAGACAAAATAAAGTTAGAGAAAACAGGCGGAAAACTTACATAAGAAAAGCTACAACAAAACCAGGATATAACAAATCTTTCTTCAATTCCAGACCACATTTTATTGCTTCATCAGTGTCTCGGTTAATAAAATGAGCCTAGAATTATTTACGGTATTTATAATGAAGATAGGAATAATGAATTACTGACAGATGCAAGTTTTTGGAGACTATACGGAGTTGTGATAAGTAATTTCCACTTGTCTTGTGCGTACGAAAATCCCTGTAATTCACGAGGAAATGAATTATTTAATCATTTAAAGGACTTAAAAATCGATGATACTTACAGAAAAAAGACACCATAAGGCAAAAGAGTGATGCTCAGGTTTGAATTGGTGCTGAATTCTTTTAATACCATCCATAAATGAAACCAATGCGCACTTGGAATGTTTGCCTGCGTTATCAATTTGTGCTATCTCCATCACCGTATATTCTCTTAGTATACTAAACATGAATCTACTTCACTTCAAATTAACAAGACACTAATTTCATCTCAACCACCAAGCACTGCTCTAACACCATAGTTTGATTTCTTCATTACATGATGCATTTTGTCCGGTGTGTATTGGTGCACACTGCGATAATAGTTGAAGCCAATTGAACTAACCGAGCATGCCAAGATTTCTTGTCGACCTTAATGGCTCGATCACATGAATTTTCTATAATCTCCAACTTCGTCAAATTCAGTTCATTCAGCGCCAACCGCGTTGCTGCTGAACCACACAAAATTCTCAAGGTTAAGATTGTTGTGAGCGCCATCTGTGTATAAAAGTGTGCTTGTTCTTGGGGTGAGAACATTGATAAGTCGAGATTCCTTTAAAAAACATCGTATTTGGTGCAACCTTATCAATGTTCAAAAGCAACATCAATGATATGATATAAAAACGCTGATATTTAAATTGATTTTGAAGAGAGTTGAAATGTTATTGACGAGACAGATCTAAGCAGTATTAACAATTTTTTGGAAGAAGCTTTCTATGTGCGACACTTTCTGACACAACTATTAAAGGAATGGATAAATAAATGCTCAACCAGTTTACTCAAGAAACCAAGTTTCTAAACTTTGTTCGATTTTAAAAATAAAACCATTTTTCACAAAATTTAGAAGCCTGATCAGGTAACAACTTAGAAATTCTTATTGTATATCATCTCTTACTGAAAAGGTGTTAATGACATAGCGCGCGATAAGCTTATGTATCGCATAAAAATTTTCTTTCGTCGAGGAAGTGGCACAGTGTACTGGTCAATACGCCAAATATCTACGAAAGTATCCAAATAACAATGAACCTGAAATTTATGTACTAACTCTTTAACTTTGAAGATTTTTTCTCACATAAAAACGAGAAACATAGCAGAAAATTACCAACTAATTAATTCAATAATCACAAATATGCATTTTTGGAAACAGATGAATATGCTACTATACATATACATGCCGGCTTTCATTCGCGTTTTAATAGCATGGAGAAGACGAAAGTTTCGAGAACTTTGCTTTAATTTTTTAAGATGACGTATTTGGAATGTCTACCTCACTGCCATTCAACTGCGAATAAATTAAGGAGAGCAGCAAAAATGCTTCAGATCTATAAATCCCTTGACCTTGTGCATATGCACCAAGTAATGTATCAACAGCCATACTGTGGTATCCTCGAGCAATTTGCCTCAGAGCATCCTTATAGGCACTGCAATAGTATTAGTACAAAAAGGAAAGATACAGTAATCCAAATCTTATTTGAATCTGATAAAAATATTATATCACATAGAAAATCTCTTGCAAATACAATACAGGCAATTGAAATGTATAGAAGGAAAAAAGGGAGAATAGTAGCAGAAATTTTTATTAAATAAACAGTTTGTAGAATTTTTGGAATGTCAAACAAAATTAGGATGGTCATTTGTATGAATACCAACTGAGAGATGATTTCCGAGAGGAAATTATTTTGGAAGCATTTGATAAGTGGGAAGATAATATCATGGCCTGCCAAGACTACTAGATAGCAGGAAATAAGCATAGTGAAATAAATCAGGAGTACCATTTCAAAAGTATATGTAAAGAACTTGTCATCACATTGCAGTCGGAAAGCCGTTAAATGGGTTGCCATTTCCGATGATTATTTCGTCTAAAACCTCTTCCGGCGGCTGGACACGCTATTGCAGTCATTGAGGTATACTTTGTAATTAGACAAATAAAATGGAAATACCAACCTTTCAACGAGTGTGGATTTATTCTGAGGATTTACGTCTTCATTACGAATAGATAACAAATCCTGGAGTAATATATCGTCACATGGACATAAAGCCCATAAATTTATCCAATCCGATGTTAGGAAAGGCTTTTTGGTCTTTATCTAAATTACATGATTTCTTTAACTGCATAACAATGCAATCATTTATAGTATCTCATACAGTAAATCATTCCGAGACTTTGTTATAATGCAAACTGCCTATTCCAAGATAACTAACACCACGGGCGGTGAAAGTATCCCAGTATATTTGGTAGTGAAAAACGGTATGATAATGAGATTGCGTTTGCCACGTCGAGCAAGAGAGCATTAAGCTATTAATTAGAAATTAAATTTGCACTGTTTAATGCATGCATGTATTAAATGTCTACTTAATACTGCTAAATCGCTATCTGTTCAATGTCCATTTTTTTCCCCTTTTTTAAAATCAATTTTATGGGTAAGAATGATTACATAGCTCGATACCCTTAGTTCTGTTCAAAGTTTTTTGAATCTGTGAGAATGCTCTTTCACTCACGCTGGCGAGAAGTGACGTTATCATTCTTAGGATTCCTAATGTTCTAAAATTTCCAATAACTGTAAATTTATATGTTGTATTAAAAAGTGAACTTTACTTTCTCCTTTTCTAACGACCATGCCATGTTCTCTGTTTCATGAAAGCAACTGGCGATCTCGCTCATTTCCTCTTTTGTCAATTTTAAACGGTGGTCATTCATCAGTGCCGTAAATAACACAAAATCTAATAATGCTATTCGATATTAAAATCGATTCTTTTATTTGGTAAGTAATATAATAAATGGAATAAAATTGAGCTTATAGAACGATATTACAACAGTGGTAGATGTATCCAGTAAGCTTTAAACAAGCCCAAAAGACTCCATATATTGGCCAGAGATGGCATAAAAACTTTCCCTGGGAAGAACTTGACAAATGGTACTGTGACTCGTTTTTAATTAAAATCAAAAGGCGATAAATGACTTCATGTGACAGAGATAATAAGTGAGAAAAAAAAAGCAAACTAACCTTTATAAGCTGATATAAAATTTTGGCATTCACAGCGCAGTAGAGTTGCTCGTCTTTTGTACCAAAAAGCATGAGAGGGATCTTTTTCGATTAACTGGTTGTAACATTCAAAACATCTGGTAAGACAACTCTAAAAAAACACATTAAATTAGAAAATGTTTATTAGGACGGAATATTAGTTTGTCAGTTGTAAACAATAATACCTGGTAAACTTTATTTTAAAAAAAAAACAAAATCAGACTTCATGTCAGTGCAAACATTCAATCTTCTATCACATCAACTAAAATTTCAGTTTTCCGATAATGATGACAAAGGAAATCAATGTAATTTTAGTCTTTCTTTTTTTTCATATAAATTTTTAAAAAGAAACCAAATTTTTTTCTGTCTTAAAGAGTGCCCATAAACAAATACAGCATTTATCCTGGAACACTCGCAGCATTTTCATATCTCTTCCAAACTCATCATTGATATTTCCATGCTCGCTTAATATCTTCATCGCACATAATAAATCAACATAAGCTCCACGATAGTTCTCTTTCAAAAACTTCTCATCACCTTTACAATGATAATCAGATACTAATACCCAATGATTTTTCAATTTTTCATCTAAAATATTTCAATTTATTTAATATTTTTACCAAAAATGTTTTTTTGTTTACAAATGATCGATACAATACAATTTAACATTAATTTATATTCAAATTTTTTTCAAAAGTTGAAAAAACGTTTGTTTTTTTTTTTTTTTAGGACTGCAAAATTTAATGAAATTCAATTTACTCTGCCACTTTTTACTGTTCAAAATTGATTTCAGCGAATAGAAAACAAAATGTTATGTGAAAGATTAGTGTTGCATCTGATGTTGCATTAAGGATTATTTTTCATCGCATAACAAATTACAATCCTCAATGCATTCTCTTTAACGTGTATTTTCATCTCTTACCCTTTTCTTTCATTTCTAGTAAATGATGAAACATAATTTCATCCCACCTATACTATTTACTTATAGCTAAAGTATTTACCAGCAAAAAAAAATCAACTTTTAATATTTCATTGAAGCGGCAGTTCAAGATCTGTTCATCTAACCTTCCAAATAGTTTAAACAGTTAATTTCTTATTGTGATAGTATTTCGTTAAAATTATGGATCTGATTCATATAAATCTGCGAACAAATAATGTGCTATTTTACGAAATATTTTCAAATACACGAGAAAGCAGTAAACACTGAATTTGACTTTATGGTAATGCTTCTCCTGTTAATAACATGATACTAAGCAAACCTGTAACTTTTATCTATTGCTATGAAAATGTTAGTAATTTCACAGGAAAAATGCCATCTTACTTTCGGTGAACGCTTCATTCTGGTTTCCTCCTGGCATTCTGCTAATATTTTCGATTTTCGAGTTCTGCCATAATATAATAAGCTCACTCACAGGCTGTACCTCAACTTTGGACTCTATACTGTCGCCAGTGGGGACCTCCTGTGTTTCCAATGACAATGTTTGTGCAACAACGACATCTTTGTTTTTGACCTTTTTGACTTTTTTATGATGCTTCTTGCTTTTCTTAACCATACTGTCAAATCTATAACAATAATCAGAGCTCATCGATTTTATTGTATTTTTTTTTTATTTACCTTAAATAACTTTCCATTTATTAAACAAATCGGACCGACAAGCACTTTAACATATGAATTTAGAATCTCCAGGTTCAATACACCAGATAACGACACATTAACCTCTTTCATGCTTTTTCACGTCTGTTGTTAAATGCAAATCTTACCGTACTTATTGCCTTCAAATTTATATATTAATGACACCTATTACTCCTGAACCCATATTGTTTACAATCTTAATCCAATTTACTTCCTAAAAAACTCATGTTCAGAAATTTTATTCCTTGCTCACAATTACAAAAGACTTAGCTCACGACACTGGAATAACGTAAAATCCAATACATATTGATGCCAATTTGGGAAACTCCATACAACCAGCCTAACAGTTAATGGGAACAATGCAGAAAATGGATCTACTTGAAGATCGGATGAAGCAGAATATACTAGAGCTGTTTTATGCCGCAAAGACATTATAGATCATTCTTCATTTTTAAATGGGGAAATCATATGCAAATTTCGTGGTAAGTAATGTCACTCAACAATCGAACGAATGGAAATTTTATTGAAATATTTTCATTCTTTACAATGAAAAACTTTTGAGATCGAATGGAAGGACATAACTTATTAATTATATCTGAAAAGGAAATTTCATGTGCAAAATGTAGATATTTCCAACGAAAATGCGTAAATCGGTCATACTGCAATATAGTAGTAGAAGCCATGCACATGCTGCGACAATGATAAGGCTATACAAATTCCAATAAGCTAAAATGTTTCCTAATTATGACTACAAGTAGTTACAAATTACTTGTAAGTTCTCAGCTTTGTTTAATCATTACTGGTTCCTGACAATATTTATTATTTTTTGATTGATTTTGATTATTTCACTATCCCATCAGTGAGTAGAGCTAAAACAGAAGTGGAATATTTGTAGATGTCAGAAGGGAACGTCATAAAATAAACGATTGTGCAAGTTTAAACAAGAAGTTGCGTCTTTTCGTTTGAAACCTATTTGAGATTCATTAGTTTAAATGGAATAAAATCAATTATACCTGAAATGCTGCAAATGATAAACCAACCGAGACAAATATGATTGTATGGACAGTTAACCAATTCAATAGCTTTTCGTGACAACCCTAAAATTCATGAAAAATGCAATCAAAACAGAATTAAATTATCAGTGACGCATCATACATTTTTGCACCCTAATCCAAAATTTTTTGTAAATAAAATTAATCATGCACCTTCACCAACTCATCATATCCTTAAATTATCTACATTTTTTCCCGTTCATGCAATGCCGAATGAACGCATAATTATCCTCTAAAAGAGCTCTCGATATTTTTTAGTAAGAAATTTCATGCTCTTTCTCGAGACTTCTATTTTTGTATACCTATTAGTGAGATATATGATGTGTGAAAAGAGAGAAATTGTTAAAAATGTATACGAAAATGCAATCCACTAGACTGCTCCCTTTAAACCAAAGAAAAACGAGAAAATATGAACGATAAAATTACTCACAAATTGGCTGCAAAATGAAGAAGCAGCGTTAAAACATAAGAAATAAGTGGCCCAATGTTCAGCTAATTCCCTACTACCTGAAAATCTTACCTCAATCACGGACCATCAGAAATTGACTAAGGATTAATAAGTAAACTAATGGGACACAAATATCCCATTCACACACACATACACACACACACACACACACGTAAATACAGCACCAAACTGTAACTGTTAACGATTAATCTTTGGACAGCATGCTTTATCAACCTAATAGTAACATTACTTGAAGCATAAATTTTACTAAGTCAAAACTTCTCTCCATCCTTCCCACTTTCTATGTGTGATCTGCAATAAAAGGTTATAAGACCGTCATGAGGAGAAGAAACCAAGCTTGTTTACAGTATGCGCCTGCTTTATGCAACATCCTCTATCGTTCGCTGGATGCTTATTCATGTTCATAGTTCTCGATAACCTTTACTTCCTCATAACCTCTTCACTATTTCCAACAGTTATTTTCGCGCTGATTTCAGAAGGCTTTAGATCTTATTAGGGAGAGGTAGAAAACTCCAAATCAGTATATCGTTCCACTCTTTCAAGCATCTCCAATAACACAGTGGACACATTTCATTTGACCAGTCAACATCGGCGAAGCTTGTTTTATACATCTTCGTGCTTCTTGTGCATCACCATCGAGCATCATAAACCAATCACTTAGCACTGTCGAAATTTTATAATCAACGCCGTCTGTTATCATGATTGTTCTAACCATCAGCATATCCCAATAATTTGCACCTTTTAAACAAATCCCAAGTTTTATGTATTTCATTCTTTTTGCATTAATATCCGCACAGTTCTTTATTTTTTCACACAGTACTGAACAGCACGCGTTTTCTGATTCTGCGCGAAGTGGTGGATGTCTGATTTTCCGGGTAGTAAGCACTTCATCTCTCTTTACTCCTCATTCCTCGTTGAGAGCTATTATTCCTATCATTGTCACTTTTTCCACGAGAAACTTTCCTCTACCACGAAGTGGGAGAGCCAGTGTATTCACCATCAAAATGCTGACGACTATTTCAAATCTTTCCATTATCGCTATCTCCATCCACCTCCTTCAGCTGTCATTCTTTTAAATGCAATCCTTTCCTTCTTCCCAAACATCTGCTTCTTCATCGCAATTATTCCTGATAAATTATCGCGCTGTAACTGTCATTCCGGATTTCAAATTAGCATATGTCCTACTGTTCCATGAAGTATCTCTTTTCTTGATTCTCCAACTTCAGGCCCACTGAACTTTTTTAATCATGAAATTATGAAAATAGCTTCGCTCATCTTCAAATTATGACTCTCTAATGTGGTTCAAATGGTTTTGGCTCTTCTTTTACTATATTGTTAATATGTTTAAATACATATAATATGGATTTTAACTGTTTCTAGCATCGTTTGATCATACTGAGACATCGATAATCACTAACTCTAATTCATTATTGAAACTAATACCCACAAAACTGCACAAATCGTTTTTCCACTTGAAAAATATTGTAATATACTTTTAATGTGTTCTGATGATCATCATTCTCGACACATTATTGAATAATTTTGAAACAAAAATAAGTTTTTAACCTAGAGAATTACGAGGCTCTAACAACAAAAATTTGATTTTTCTGGTAAAATAAAATCATAACATGTTAGGATGTACTCTATCTGTTACATGTGGTTTAGATGACTGTAACCTTTTCTTAAACCTAAAATATAATGTGAAAAAAAAGATACCAAGCATCATACCTGAACATTGACAGAATTGTTGAAAGCAGAAGTGTAGTAGTTATATGAGGAGCACATTTGATCAACTGGTTTTATGAACCAGGCTCGTGCTTCTTGCATTTGTTTGCAGCATGACTGCGGTACAAATGATATGGTACCACGCTCTGTGTTAGTTTTGTACCAAAATGAATCATGATAATTATGGGGACCGGTGGCACCACAACACTGTTGCTGGAACAACATGCCATTTATAAATATATCAAACAAGACACATTTGGGTAGACGTGTTTGAAATTTAAATCAGTTAATCTAACTGAAATTATTTACATAACTTTTTAGTCACATCTGTCAGGAACAAATCACGACAAGCTTCCACTTTGCAAGAGACTTCACAAAATAACACAAAAGTTATGAATTAAAAAGTCAGAAACAACTACACGACTGTAGCATTAGTATAATGGCATGAGAACAAGAAAAAAAGTGGGAGGAAATTCCCACTTCGAAAAACGCATTACTTAGGGACGCAGACGAAAGAAGGAGTTAATTAGATAACAGAAAATTTCTGAATATAAATTACGATATAATGTGATGAAAATAGTAGCAAAACCGAAAGCACATGGTAGCATATACACACACATACCGTTAATTTTTCATGCTCCTTGCTTTCCAGTGACAAAACGATCTCGTAATTTTGAGCTATTGCAGGAAGATGAAGTGTGGATTCTATTTCATATGGTATAAAAACACGAATGAACATCAAGAAAATGAAAGGAGAGTTGAAACCCGAATAAGAATATTGACTGCTATTACTTTGCTTAATTTTAGCCGTGCAATTCTATTTGATGACTGGCAAAATTTAAGGCTTTGTATAGTAAATAATCTTGATGGTTTACGCAAAACTGATTAGTATAATTTCTAACAAAGTGAAAGGTTTTTACCAAAAAGCTGGAGTTTTTGGATGTGTTATGTTTGTCCCAAGGATTATTTTAATTTAAATTGAAACACTGAATTCATCCAGATATTTTAATAACTCCGATAAATATCAGAAATCTCACTCACAGCGCTTTACTACCAGTATTTACCGTTTGATGCCTCCATAATTTATTAGCTTGAAACTGTTGACAGCGTGCTGAACTTCTGGCAACCGGATTCATTGCTGTTGCACCAGTCAATTGCACACAGCATGTACTTGGTACTACATCAAAACTGAATTGTGATCGTTGCTGGAGTAAATCAACACCTCGCCAGTAGGATGTACGCCAGCGACTGCTACTCCACTCCCCGTAATCCACTGAACCACAGCACTGCTCCTAGAGATCATTGTAAATTAAGAATCTGAGATATTCATATATAATCTCAATACCAGTATCAGCACTAATTTCAATATTCAGTATTCAGTGTTCAATATCAGCTAAATTTACTGCTATTAAAATTTAACTAACATTAAACTGCAATCTATCAATGAGCGACGTTATTTTGGCATTATATTCGATGCTCGGATTGATACCATAATTTTCTCTTATTAGCGATTGCAATTTCTGGTCAAAATCACTTGTCAAAAACTAAAATTTTGTATAAACACTCTCATTAAAGTTCAAATATACAATTCAAAAAATGTAATTGGTGTAATTCATAATTCAATTGTATAATTGAAAAATAATGAAACATTCCGTAACGAAATGTTAGATTTCCATGATTTTCTAAGAACTTCTAAAGTTTCAAAAAAGATACGTTGATTCAATAGGTTAATATAATATGTGGTGAAATAAAGCTGCTTGGGAGTATTCGTGAAGAGGAGTTTTGTAAATCTAAAACAGCATGTAATAAAAAAAGGATCGACGGTTTGATTTTGGATGGGATATTTGAAAATTTTCACCTGCAATAATAAAATGCAGCAATACAACAACACTTTCCTTCACAATACAACACATCACATAACATTTCATCTTTTCAAACGCTGTAAATCCTTACATTTAAAAAGCATCAGTTAATAAAATAGTGACATGCATGCAATAACGGAATTGAAATATGAGAATAGTTGGATTAAATCCTTCTAAAGCATCACACGAATTGAGATTTGAACTGAGATAGCTTGTTCAAGATAGATAGCTTGAACTGAGATAGAAAATTCATATCATTCTTTATCAACAATATTCTCTATATTTGATAAACAAGATTACATTCATATTTAATGTTAAACGGCTTTTGCACTCTTCCATGAGTTCTACATATTTTTCAGTTTTTATAACAAAAAAAAGAAAAAAACATAAAAGTTAGACTGTTTCTTGCAAAGTTCGGTCGCTGAAGTAATTTGAATCGAACGGTGGTGCTGTTAGAAATTATTGCAAATATTAAATTAATAGAAGCCAAATAAAGTTACATAATATTGGATGGTGTCGACGAGTGGCGTGACCCAATAAAGACGATAATATCGATCGTGTGTTAACTTTGTTAAATACACACTAAGCTCATTGCCAACAAACTGCAATTTACACCTTATTACATATAATAATATCGAAATTTAATTGAACATGCCAAAATTACTAACCTTATTACGGTAGAACAATGCTAAGCAAGCGATCGTTACATCAGCAAAAAATAACATGAGTAAACAGATCACGAACTGAAAAAATCCCGCAAAGTCTGGGGTCTAAATTATCAGTCAAATACATTATGGAATCGGCAATTCTCATGGAAAGACACTGACAGAAGGATCGTGTCTTGTCCACCTTTCAAAATATAAAAGTATATTATCCGGTCTTTCATTGAAGTTATATAGATTAATATTGAAACATTAAATCAAGTTCAATGGTTTTGTAAAATATTTACCGTTCAAAAATTAAACGTATATAGTTATTATCTGTAAATAAATTTTGATTGACAAAAAAACAAACAGTAATGAGCAAGCACAGTGATTTTTTGATTGTACCACAACAACCAATAAAACCAATTATCATTGTAACAGAACCAGTAACAAGAGCTAGATAAGTAGATCCACGAAGTAATGGATCATCCTCTGAGAAATCGACCAAGTCGAGGACATAATTACGGCGTGGATCTAGCAGTGTCCACAATGACAAAAATATCAGTGCCAATCCAGTAATCTGCAATCTTCGTAAACGTAACCTTAGCGGTAAAAACAATAAACCCGCATTTGCCATTCATATTTCCAAAAATCCAAAATAGCACGCTGTCGATAGGATAAACAAATCAACCATAGAAAAAGTAACAGCTAAGAAATTGACTTTGAAAATACCAAATGAGTCACTGATCAAACAATCAATAAGATCAACTACATTTTATAAAAAAAAAATGTCTTCGACATTTTATAAACAGTGCACTAGTATAATATAAACGAGCTACGCAGTGGTTAATCATTCGTCCGGGTTATAATCTATTAAAATTAAAAGACTGCCAATATTACTGAAAGCCATCCTTCAGAGATTTTAACTGATGTTCCATAATTTATTATTTAAGGTGATTTACCCAAAAGAGGACGGTATAGAAAAGTAAGCATATTTGCGCACATTGTCCATTCCTATTCCCATTCATTATGAAATATTTATTCATTCATTTCAATCCTCGAACTCCAATAAAGCGATTCATTGTGGACAAATAATGCCACTTCTTATGCACACATTCAAAATGATCTGAAAAAAAAAGCTGTTAATCCATTCATCGATCACAGAAAGGGACGAGAATATATGATAGATGAGATGAGAGGAGAGAAGTTCATTTCACTTAGATTTGTAACGGCTGTTGATGATATTCAAACACACTGTTCTGAAATGAATCAATTAGACTTATTCTCTAAATGTTTTCATGTTCTTGTGAAATTGCTTCGATGAATCTTCGAAAAATTTTCCTGACCTGAATCCGGCATAATAATAATAAAAGCTAGACAATGTCAAAGTATGGTATTATGTATTACACATTTCACGAAAAAAGCAGGTGAAAAGACGTAGCAGTGTGATAATTAATTAGGGCCACGCAATTCGAACCACTGATAATTTCAGGAGCGAATTGAGAAGATAGACTGGTCATTTAAATCGTAAGGTACGAGAAAAACAATTTAAAACAATTTAAAATGAGGAATGTTTGAAATGGCATCGATCGATTGGTTTGGATGATCGTGGCTTTGGAGTGCGTGTGTGCGTGTGTGTGTGTGTGTATGTGTGTGTGTGTGTGTGTCTGTCTGTACATAATGTTTGTGTAAACAAATGCGAGAACGAATAAGAATTTTAGTGGTATAGCTTAAGCTCGCTTACTTTGAATTCAATTTTCGTGTTAATTTGATTTTACGAATATCAATGAAAAATGTACTTTTGAAAATCAATGAAAAATGTACTTACTGTATTTAAGTAATAACAACTTTTTGCGTGAAAAGAAGTAAACCTTTTTTTCACAAAAAAAATTAGCACTTAGCTTAATCAAATGCTACTCGGTTTCAAACTAATATTTTGGGAGGGAAGCATTTCGAATATAAAAATTCGTTTTTCCGTTTTACCTTTTATCACGTGTGAATTGCTTGCCTAGTTTAAAATTACACAAATTAATTCAAGTAACTGACATGTCTTTTTTTCCTTTTTAAAACTTTCTTTATTTTCTTCATGAAATTATCAAATATGCATCATCTTAGCTCAGACTTGAACTTCGACTTTAACTTTTTTAAACAGACATGTGAAAAAACTTTGAAGAGAAATATGGGAGCCATATTTTTGGAACTCGCTTCCATTTTCTGTTTCAAGTTTGGATGTTCGATGATTTCTTTCGAATCATTTATAGAAATGATCGAAGAAAATCAATTTCGTCTTCTCGTCGGTCGTATCGGTGACTACAAAAAGTGTGCAAATTAATATACTTTAATATTAATATAAGTTAATATACAAATTAATAACCTCAGTTTCTTGAAGCAATTCGCGGAATTTACCGCTGAATCCTACGGCGGAGAAAACTTGAAGAAGCCTATTATTTTTTTAAAGAAATTTGGCAAAAATGATTGAAGCTTTGAACAGTAAAAGCTTTCAGGTTCCTCTCAAACCATCAATTTCATTATACCGGTATCAGTTTGCTTTTAACTTGATCAAATTTTAACTTGGCATTTTTTACTATGCCATCATTTTTTTTTACAGTATGTTTTTTGACAAATGTTTTGAGATTTAGTTGAGTGAATAGTTAAGCCACTTCTAAATCATATACAGTGATGGGAGAGAAATGCACCTATCTCTTCTCGGTCTCTGGGAACCTCAAACGCAGTAATATTACCATTAAAAAAAAATTTCAATACTGTTATCGATCCGTAACCATGCAAAATGTTATTGCGGGATATACCAAATAGTTCAGCTAAATTTTAGTACCAATAAATGGATCAAAATGAACATTTAAAACAATCTAAATTTGATATACAAGCAATATTTGTAAAGCGTCGAATCAATAGTAATATTACTACTGATCAATAGTAATAAAAATGAATTAAATAAGATTTGGAGAAACATCATTTTAAGATTATCGTAATACAATTTCGTTTTGAACAAAAGAATAAATAGCAACGAAATTGCACAGATTCATACCATCCATCAATTAATCAATTCAATCGATAAATGACAATAAGTGATTGTAACGAAAGATCTGTCCTTTTGGAAGTTTACTAAACTTGCAATCTATTCATAATTTGGGCTTGTTAATGATGCTCTATCAGCTTCTACAGTTTTTTAAGATCGTTAAAGAATTAATCATTGTCATTAGAGAATTAATCATTAGAGATAAATTCCGAAAAAGTTGATCTGATATTTTTAATGGAAACCAACTGAAGTCAACTGTGGGAAAAATTCCGTATAATTCTGATCAGAAGCCGTATAGTAATGCGCCTTCTTCGCTGAAATTTGACTGCTTCCTTGATAACTTACGCTCAAAGTTATCGCTGAACAGCTGAGATTTGCCGGCTTAGGATTTTGAAATATGTGATAACAGATGCAGTTATCAATTGTAACCATTTCCTCGATGATTTCCTCGAGCGCAACACTTATTATTGAACCAAGCAGATTTCAACGAAGAAGTTCTTGTTGCTATGCGGGCCCTGATTAAAACATCCATTCCAATTGCCAATAGATGTTTTTCAATGTTCTTTACATTTCTACAACAACTGAACACAAAAAATACTCTATTAGTTATTGGAATAAAACGTATATTTAACAAGTTACTTAAATATTTTTCAGTAAACAAAATAGTTGTTCAAAAGCAACAAAGAAACTTGCAGTAAATATGTTGTCTCAACACTATTTCGACCCAGACCATAAAACAGCAGTTATGCATCAGAACAAACATAACTTTGCCGCAAAATCACCAACTTGGAACCCATCATTTTTGAAGTGCGTCCAAAACTGCCTGATTTTTGCAGTTAAAATTATCAGTTCTTCTGTATAATGCGGTCAACTGTATGTTAGTTCCAGAGAGAATTATTGGATATAAATTTGGAGCGAGACCCGCAAAATTCAGAGAAAGCACTCTACAATGAGTGCTGGATTTAAATATTAATAAGTTAAATGAAACTTCTGTCAACTAATGTGCAAGAAACTGATGAGCGACAAGAAATTGAATTCCTGGTCATATTTGAAAAATAATGAAAAATAATGTTACCATTGAGGATTAATCACAATGAGAGACTTGTTGCTTAAAAGGACTGCACTCTAGCCTTGCAAATACCACTGTTGTTCTTTAGTTAAGAAATTATTCAAGCTAGACCATTAAGTACACAACATAACATAGTTACACCATCAAATTCCATAAAGTTGCACGTCAATTAAGCAAGTATTTTTTAAGCAAAATTTGGAAAGAAATAAACTCATGCAGATTTTCATTTGTATAAAAATGTGGGCAAAATATCGCATCAAAAGAACTCCATATCACTAAGTCATTGATGCGACTTCACAGTTTCCTGCAAATATGTTCTTCATATGAAGTCAGTCCTGGAATAGAATCAATCCATCAAACCCATACATCGAAAGTTCTTACTCAACAACACATTAATTAGAAAACCCAGCTTTAATTAGTTCTGATTCGTACATTTAAATCCAACTGAGAATACGAAACCGTCCTATAAAAAACCGTTAATTGATTCCTAGAAACATCAGGCGGGATTGCAATTTTTATTCCTTTCTAGATTTGGTTGCGGAGTAGCAAAATGTTTGGACAAGGAGCATTTCTTCATGACAGAATCAAGCCTTCGAATGTTTAAACATTTTAACCGTTTCCATATTAATCATAAACAAAATAAATATTTTGTATACGAGCAGATAATTTTTGATATCTCACCACATTTTTTTTTCCAGCAAACTGCTAACAACCCGCTGCAAAAATTCTGAAACTTCAAACGAATAACTCACCGTTACTAAAAACTAGGTGACACAAGCAACAGACCACTGAACAAGTTCAAAGTTCAAGCTGAAGAGCGACTGAGCAACTGCTTTTTTAGCTTAGAAACGACATCAATGTCCGCTTAACGATACTACCATTGTGATGCGGAGTTTTTGATTTATTATATAAGAAAAAATTGCGAGAAGGACTTCACTACGATATTTGCCATCATTTACACGAGTAAAAAATCTGGAAACCACAAGAACTGGATGGAAAAAAGTAGACACAATCACATCCTTCAAATGAACACCATAAATTCACGACTTTTTAAGATCACACAATAACTAAATCGGTATTTAAATTTGCTGGAGCAATTCAACAGTAATTTATATTCTCTGAATACAACGGGCGAACTTTTTTTTCTAAATTGTTCAATAACTGCTTTAAAATAATTCAGAAAAGTAGGCTTAATAGTGCACATGAAGCAATAACAAAAAAATAAGAAGAATCAGACGTATTTTATTTCAGTATTTACAAATTTTTAAATTATCACATAGTTTCGACATACGCAAAAATTATGATTAACCTAGACTTTATGATACTATACATTGCTTGTTTGCAGTAAGTTGGTTGAGCTGTTTCTCAGCTTCATCAGCATTGTCCATCGAAATTTCGTAATCGTCATTCATAACTTGCACATAGCTCTGATGAAAAAAAAATTCAAAATAAGAGTCAAATTTTTCGTTATAATGTTCAATTGTATTCTTGCTGATTAAAATACAGAAATTAAGCAGTAGGTAGGACTTGATCACTCGCTTGTACAAATTTCATAATCACACTTTATATAAGTGATCAAGCCTAATTCTAATAAAATTTAAAGAAAAAAGGAATTTTATTAGAATATTAGATATGTCTCTGAATTTTATTAGAATATACAAAAAAAAAATGCAATGAAATAAAGAAATTATATTATTCACCTAGTAAAACAAACATCACTAATTACAAGATTGAAAGAAGCGAGATGTGGATATGAAACATACTTTTATTCGCTCCGCTGCGGACAACCACCTGGAAACTTTACGTTGTAATTTGATGGAACGCTCTGTACCACGATTTTCATTACTTAAAACACGCATTGCACTTTCAATTGCCAGTGTGTACTTCGCTAGTGCCTCGTTCCACTGCTCCTGACGTTCCAACTCATGTGCCGTGTGTGCTATTATGTCTGCAGCACGAACCTAAAAACGAACAGATATTTCTTGAAATACTAATTTGAAATAACTCAAGATAAGACCCTTATCTAAAGAAGTATTTCAAAAGAAGTTCGAAGGCCCAGAATAATAGATCAGACGTAATTCTAACCCATATTCAAACAAAAATACACCTGAGGCCAATCATTCCATTCTGTTTGATCAAGTGATCGCGATAGAGGGAGTTCCTCAATAACAGGTCGTAGACGTTCTTTCATATTTTCAGCATGTTCCAAATACGCTTTAATTTTCTCGCGAAATTTTACTTTCTCTTCACCCTCATCGAACAATTCCAAACAGTGAATGTAGATTTGCACGGCTTTTGACAATAATTTTGTCGCTTCAGCTAGATTCTGTGGAGGAATGATTCAAAGTGCAATGTAAATGACAGAGAGTTCTTATTTGAATCCCATTTTTTGACGGTAGTTTTTCCAGTAAATTATGTACATTTTTCTCTATGGCTACAAAAAAATTTTCCGTCTTGCGACTTATGCCATTGCATAGTAAAATTATATATAACTCTCCAAATTACATTGTTCTTAACACGCATCAATATCGCTGATAACTCTTATTCGAAAAGAATATCAAAAATCCTTAGTGAATAAATTTCATTAGTATATGAAAAAACTAACATCTTCAGATTCGGCTTGCTGTGACTTCTTAACATAACTGTCAGCTTTATCTAGCTCAGCAGAGGAAGGCAATTTTGTTAGATTCACAAATGGATGCGCAAAAAACCGTTCAAACGTAATGCGATCGTAGGGATTACGAACGAGCAGAGCTGAAAGTTTAAGATTTAATTTCTTGTATATGGGGTACTCAGGGAAGCCCTTTTAAATAGATGGATTATAACTATTATATAAAAATACACCTTCCACCAAACTTTGAACTGCTACATAAAAATACACCTTCCATCAAACTTTGAACTGCTACATAAAAATACACGTTCCATCAAACATTGAACTGCTACATAAAAATACACCTTGTAAAAGGTCAAGACAAACACACGAAATGCGCACATTCACCGGAAAATTTATGGACTGCTGCGACAAAATTTGTTCCACGAGTTCACCATATGTGTGGGCGGTAAAAGGTGGCACGCCATATAAGCATTCATAGAGAATAATACCGCATGACCTATGCAGTGTATGAGTTTAAAATTTCCAGATTAAAGTCATTCTTTTCAAATGTAGCATGATATTTGGAAGAGCTATGCCCTCAAAGAAAAAAAATTAACCACAGATCGACACGACTGTCATATGATTCTCGGCAAAAAATTTCAGGTGCCATATAAAGAGGCGAGCCACGGAATGATGACGCCCGTTCATTCTTCTTCAAGTACTGAGAAAGACCAAAGTCCGACACCTGTTGAGAATTCAAGTAATGCTTTAAAACAAAGTAAAGTTGTGGACTCTTGTTTAACCATTTAACACATTACTTTCAAATTCTAATCACAGTTTTTGGTTTCGACAACCTTGAGAGAAGGTTTATGTCGGTTAGTAAGTAAAATATTTTGTGGTTTCAGATCCATATGCGCCACATTCATTGCTCGCATATACTGGATTGCTGAGGCTAACTGACGAAAAAAACGACGTGTAACAACTTCAGGCAATGAGCCGTAATGTTTGATGAATGAACCCAAATCGCCACCACCACAATATTCCATGATAAGATATATATTGTTTCGATCCCATTGAAAATCATATAAGCAAACAATGTTCCTGAAAGAGTACTTATACACATATTTAGAAATCATCAAACGTTTTTGTTTCATATTTTACTGTTACGAAAGATTTCACATTCTTTAAGAATAAATTAAACTTTTTTTTTGCTACTTTGTGATTTCACAATTTCAGCTGTCTTCAGCAGAAATGGGGACAGGCTATTATTATCTCTTTGAATCAATTTTCTTAATCTGAAGCAAAATATCAAGGAATGCCTGTGTTTTAAATTCTTCAAGATCCTTATTTCTGAAACAACACAATCTGAGTTCAGTTTTGAAGCATTCGCAGCCTGCATGCTCATAACTTTAACTGCTACAGTAATGCGCACACCATTCTCATTGGCAGATGCAGATAACGCTTTGAAAACAGTAGAAAATGTGCCACTTCCAATTCTGCAATGAATTGCAAGAGATAACGAAAGGGAATAAAAAAATATGAGAATGTATAGCAAACCAGGAAAGTAGAAGATAAAATCGATGAAATGCGCTTTTCGATAAAATGTCTAAGATACAGAATGAAAACAATACCTCTCACAAACACTGCATCCAGCAATGATAGTTGGAATGCTGCACAGTTGATTACTACCATTTAACATAATTTATCAATAATGGCAAGCTTTTTACAGTTAAAACATCTGAATTAATAATTTAAGCATTTCAAGCGGAACCAAGTGATTAACGACAGTCCAACGCACGGATCTACAAGCTGGAAGAATCCTACAACTGGTGCTATAAGTGAATCGTAAGGAAAACAGGTATTGTGTATTAAGCAGAAAAGAAAAAAGACACTTTATAACATCGAAGTAAGCATAAAGGAATGCTTCAATTTAATCGGTTAGTAAGTCCGTGGAATTATCAGAAAGCAATAAATCGACGGTATTCGCACCCCTTCCTTTATTCATACACATCACAACACTGTCTATAATTATACTCATATCCTTATCATTTCGTCTCCTTCGTAACACCATCATCCTGGCTTTCTAGCCTGACCTCTACCGACCAACTTAGTCCTCCTCCACTGTCTCAAGTCCCTACTCCCTACTGCAGAATCTTGGACGATTATTACATGATGTTTTTGTTTACGACGGTGACGGATCATGTGTGTCACAGCAGTTGCTTCGTTGTGAAATATAAAAATCACGCCGGTGACAATGCTTTCCGGCTGGTGTGAACCTGATTTAGTTGAAGATATCGAAGAATATAATGGCGAAATTTAAAGGACACCTTTAGCATCCACGAAAACAAGATATAAAGTGCAGTAGTAAGTGTTTGAAAATAGATATTTTGACCCGGAGCTCATTCTCCACATGCAGTAACATTCGATGTCGGCGATTAATTCTCCTCAGCCACCGCTCTTATAGAAATGTTTTCTTTGTTCGTAAATTGTAAATTATAGATTAATTAATGTTATTCTGATGGATTTTCAGTCATTTATATCTCATCTTTCATATTTCATTAGAGCTAAGATAAAGAAACTAAATTTCCGTTTTTTCTTTGATACTACAAGGAAAACCACTTGAAGTCAGTTTGCAACCCGTTATTATCAGCGATGTAAGTGCAATTTGAATGTAGCTCGATATATACTGTGTGATATATACTCGATATATACTCATCAATAATGGCAATAGTTCAAGTAAAAGGTGCGAGTGACGCAGAGAATCGAGCGTAGAGTGTTCAACACAGCACAACGCATCCATTGCATTGTTCAATTCGGCGATACGATGTTAGGCATAAATATGGTTTCATAAGTAAGCCTAGTGGATAAGGATAATGTATGAATTTGATAGATGGAAAGCGGACTAGTAGACGACCTCGCGTATATTCCTCCGACCTATTGAAAATCAAAATTAATGCAGTTATTTGAATTGCATTTGCGGGTAGCAAGCATGATTGCAGATGACAGAGGTAAAGAGGGAATTGAGATAGACATTTCATGGTCATTGTGGGATTATGCTCCTCGCAGATAGTACAAGTAGAGGAGAGAAGCAGAAACTAAGAAAAGATTGGGTGGCTGTAGGAATTGGCTGTTTTCTCCATATTCTAATCCATCCGGGATCGCTTGTTGCGCTTCTGTCATGAAGTAGATTAGCAGTTGTATTTCATTACTAATTTTAACTTCTTTGAATATCAGGTCAATTATAGTCAGGTTGATCTCTTCTCACTCCTCAAATCATTGCCCAATTTGCAACGAAATTTCTGGATCACTGTTCAAACTTATTTGTTTATTTTGGTTTATATGGTAAATACCATAGACGATTATAAGATGTTGTTTTTCTCTCTAGATAGAGACAAGCAAACATTTGGAGGTTTAAAAAAAGTGGCAGTGGCACACATGTTTCAAGTCATCTATTGTGCCACTGATCTAATTTCCAAATTTGCACTTTGCCGATAACAAGTAACTTAAAGCACCTACTTATTATTCGATAATGATGAGTCCTAATGAATAACGCTTTTCCGAATCAAAATGAATCCCATGAGTATCTCGTAAATTACCGTCCCTGTTTGCCAAATTACAACTTGGGAATTTCACGTAGCAGCAAATTCTGGTTATTTAGCTTTTTTTGAGTAACGACAGTTTGTGCGACAAAATTTTTGTCATAATTTGAAAGCAATACTATTTATCTGAGAGCTGATTCAGTTAGTCCTTTTTTAACTCCAAGGTCTAGTTGCTTCATCTTGTTGATTTCTTTCCAGTCTCTACAGCTATGAAGATATAAGTCATATCCAGAAACATTAAGATTTTTAGTCATGTGTAGAATAAAAGTATACTGCGCTGCATAATTCAAATAGAAGTACCAATTCAGACTGAAAACGTCAACCACTTTTTTGTTTTATAGATCTTTTGAAAATATAAAAAACCTTTTTAGGTGACCCACTTGTAGTTATCATTCGCAGCTGCCTTTACAGATTGTTACATTCAGTTTTTGATTTCAGGGAAAAGTGGAAGTTCCTGCAGAAATCCATATCTCGAAATCTTGATAAGAATCTTTTCTCGAGTATTGATGGTAACCATAACATAGATTGGTTTTGAGATATTTTCTTCGGGAAATGAAATGTAAAAGTGGTAGTTCACAGAAAGATGATGATCAGATCCATGTATTTAATCACCAACCACCTATTAATTGCTTTTTATAGACCATTTCTATCAATCATTGTTTTTGGACATTTTGTCTATTCTTGATGTAGATGTCAGTTTTTATCCTTATTTGGTTACCGAACTGGAAGCAATGATAATATTTAAATTGCACTTTTCGTTCGTTTATTTCGTCGCTTACGTTTGCTTCCAGATATATCTGAAGTTCAACAATTAAGTAAGAAGCAATTAATGAAATGCATGAGAAAACGAAAATGAAGGGTAGTTAACAAATACACAAAACACTTGATAATGTGAAATAATATCGCTGATAGTCGAGGTTCAATGGACCGTCAATCAATAGACAGCGGAGCGACAATCGTTGTATATTTAAGATAAATGCTGTATTCGGAAAAGCCTATTTTTTGTCTTTTCATGCCAGAGGAAGTATTGATGGAGTTCAGAGAACAGCAATGGGTCACCAAAATCACCCAGATATGATGACGCTGTGAGGTTATTACAAGCCACTTGTTCAGTATTACGAATTAATTATAAGAAATAGTGTAACAATATTAAAAAAGTAATGCAACGAAGTAATCTGATTAGGTCCAGTTGTATTAGTTTAAAAAAATGACTATTGAGTGATGATAGCAATCGTTGATTTTCCTCACTTCATAATTCAAAACGGGCAAGCTCAAATTAAATATTTTAGTATGTACAAGTGTCTCACTTATTTCCAGTTCTAGGCAGTTTGATAGATTTATTTGGTTATACACAGGTCACCCTTCAAAGACTTACAAGAACATGAGTCACACTTTTCGATAATATCAAAACTACAAGTGAAGGCAATCATATCGCTTGTCGGTGTAATAAGTTACTTGCTTCTTACAGTCGTGTATGGGGAAAACATGCAGAACTGGGCAATGCTCTTAGCCGAGGTAATATAATCAATTTTGTAGTTATTCAGGAATCAGAATATGTACGAAAAATCGATAAAAGGCTTGATCGCTCGCTCGACATCTGTTGTAAATACTATGAGAGAATTAAAATTTAGAAGCAATCCTGAGTTGGAAGAGATGAATGACAGTTACTATGTCAAGTAAATGTTAATGTTATGTCGACCTTTTTAATTTGCATTTGCAAGTCGTCACTGCTCTTTGCCGATAACTGACAAGTGGAGACAGGAGGGGTAGGTAATCACTGCAATAAGTTGTGAAAGAATGCTAATCGCGTTCAAATTGGCAATTCTGATTAGTTTCTCAAGTATTGCTACTTTTTAAATCCTCCACCTCGATACTGTTCATACATATAAAGATATTGCAAGCTTGCTGGAGCAATTGACTTCCAGCAAACCTATAGGCCCATCCACCTAGGCACCGTACTCTTTACAAAAACGAATGACAACGCTAATTGCTTTGATGTCATCACCTTCGTCCAAGACCTCTTCATCTCCTCCACGCTCTGATTGTCTTCCTCATTGCATCTGATATGTTTGAGACGCAGCTATCTTCACCTATTCCTTCTCAACCATGTCGCAACTGTATCGCAGAAAGCTGGAAACATGAGGCAAATGACTGGGAACAGCGCAGAGAAATGGGAAGGGTATTTGAATGCGTTCCACAGGGGCATGTACATCATGCACGGTACTCGTTCGTTTGTTTCAGGTCTGAGTTTGGTCGGGAAATGTTTGAGGAAGGAGTTGATAAATACGCGGATAGAATGCAAGCGCGGGGTGATAAAAGTTCCGACGATGGTGCTTATACCTCCAGCAGTGGTCCAAATGGGGACAGCGAGGAAAGCTCTGATGAGGTCGCACTTTGCTGTTGACTACATGCATAATTTAACAATGGAACAGACTGAATCTTGTGCATCTCATTTATCGATCTCCTAAGGAAATATTTAAAAACGGACGCGATTTACATTTTAGAATTTTGTATGAAATTCCCAATGTGCGATGTCACGGCATATCAATGATAGTTTTTCACTATTTTCATTGATTTTAAAGGGTGTGGGAGGCTGTCTGTCCGTTGTTGTCTTTTTGGTGAGAAACTTGTTGAGAAATTTAATGGAGAGATAATTCCTTGACTCACTTCATTTGTCATCTCTGACAGTTTAATCAACGAACTATAAAATAGAACAGTCTTGCGGCCAGTTTTATGAGAATCTACCAAATGACGTTAACGCAACAGCCTAATGACCTGTAGCCTTGCAAACTGGAAAAATAGTGCGATTCTGTGTCTTCGTAGATAGAAACATTTTTCTCTTTTTCTCAGATGATTCCTTTATACACTGTAATATTCGTCTTATATAATTTCATAAAGATGTATTAAGTTGAGTATATTACCGTTCTCGATAACTCATTCCATTTCTAGAATGAGGAATGCAGCTCGGCGTCCCTTGTTGAAGAACTGGAAAAGAAGTATTTATGTAATGTGGATATTGATGAATCGATCATCCTGCTGAAGTCTATGGTTAGTATTTCAAAACACATTATTATTTGATTACGATGGCTGTAGGTTATAAGAAGACGAAAGTTTAATAAACTGCTTAGTCGAATATATCGATCTAACAATTCTATTTTGCATTATCGAACTTTTATCCACTTTGCTAAAACCATCATCATATAAAATCCAAATGTTTGCACTCAAATTCCATCCACATTTAGACAGGTACAAGTCCATGTAAGTTGGCTAGTGAACACACCCTTTTGCTGCTTGTACTCAATCACAAATACATTGATCGAATCGGTGATAAAGTCCAGTTTCTATCAATCTGCAGATATGCTCGTGAGGTAAATTTCACTTAAAATCCGTGTCAGTAATTGCATTATCTCGAATTCTGATTTTCGCTATTCAATTGCATATTTAGGTGGATTTGGCTTGGAACAGGCTCTCATCATGGGAAGAAATCACTGCCATTTTTTCTTTACCTAGACTGGAGGTATTAAACTTGGGATATAATCCACTACAGTCATCCCTGACAGTGTCAAGCCTTCCTCTTGCCATGAATTTGGAATTGTTTATATTAAATGGGACAGATTTGCCAATGTCAACAGTACGAAAATTATTAAATAAAATGCCGAAATTGAAAGAATTACATCTATCGGAAAACAGGTATCTTTCTACTTCAATTTTTCGGTATTTCTGGTATTTTTTGTGACATTCTTTTCTTGATTATCATGCAATTATATTCAGGTTTTTATAGAATGTCACAGATTCTTTCAGAAATTTAGAAAATCGTATTGATGTCATCGACGAAGTCGTGTCAGAATCACTGGAGTCTTTGCATGTAAGCAAATGTGATATCGAGCGCTGGGAAACAGTCATTTCGTTATGGAGGTTCTTTCCGAATCTAGCGTCATTGTCTCTGTGTGAAAATCCTATTCGCTCGACCTATTGTAAATTGAAAGTAAGTATTTGGAAGTTTTTTTTTTTCAATACTGCCAAACTCTGTTTCGTGAAGATTAAGGTGCTGTGAAGTGTCGAGTCTCATTTCTCAGTTGCCCTATCAGAGTACTGTGGTTCAAATTTTAATCATAAAATCTTTTTTCTGTGAGTAAGGTCTTCTGCTATGCACTCACAAAGGAAAAGGTGCAACCCCTGTAAGTTAATTAGCCACTCAGTTCGCTTGACTGGAAGTCCTTTTTTTGTATTTTTTTCAAGTGATGGTGATAACTAAGCTGTGCACTATATATATTTTTTTCAGATAGATAATCTTAACTGTTTGAATGGTGTTCATCGATTGAGTTTAAACAAATGCCTGATCGATAATTGGAGTTCCATTGAACGTTTAGCAGATATAAATACTCTACAAGATTTGCGGATCATCGCGATTCCTTTATGGGAAAAGTATGCAAATGGTGACCATTTCCATCTGGTCGTTGGGCGTATTCCGCAACTGAAGATTCTAAACGGGTCACTTATATCTGCTGAGCAAAGAGAACAATCCGAAAGGTTCCTTATAAGGTTATGTTCTTCTATTGTTATAGTACTGTTAACTTCCTTCAAATTCAATATTCCCTCTGAAGTTCAGTGCACCATAATAACACTTAGCTCCTTCTGTGTTTGACATAATCGTCTGAAAATGAAGTCAGAAACAATCTCGTCCGACAACTCCAGAGTATGGACTCTTGTTTTTATTCTTCATTTCTTATTTGAACGACTCTTTGATGATAACGTAGATGTTTAAGGGTTTTATTTAAGGTGTTATGTTTTGTTTTGCATTTTGTATGTTTTGTGTCACTTTTGATATAGTGTGATATGTCTTCCGAAACATGCTGAAGTTAGCTCCAGAGAACTGGATGTTTTATTAGTAAGTCTGACTGTAAAGTGAGAGCTATATATCTTATTGTTTTAGGTATTACGATATTCGTGAAACTAAACCGAAAATATTTGCTAGATTAGTTGAGCGACATGGACATGTGGAACAGCTGTGTAAAGTTGATTTGACTCCGAAGAAATATGCTATTATTGCTGTGATATGCGAAGAAACTGGGTAACCAAAATTTTATTGCTTGATTATTCAGTCACCGATTTTCCACAATTTTTGAAGAAGTCTTTTTACTTCCTTGAAATTCTTTCTCAGAAGTGAAAATTTATTTAATTTTTTAGATACAATGCAGGTCTGAAAATACGTTTAACGCAAACAGTTTCTTGTCTGATGCATATGCTTGAAAAGTTAACAAGAATTCCTGTAAGACGTATGCGGCTGTTTTACATTAACAGCATTAATCCATTTCCGGATGAGTTGCGTTTCCCAAGTCAAATGCTTCAAGCGTTGCGTATCGAAGATGGTGATAAGATCTGTGTTCAGGTATGATCATTACGCAAGCTATTACAATTGTTGTTTTGATAATATTTAACCCCCTCTAGAGTCGCGAAACTTCCTGAGGAATAATCAGGTTAGTGCAGAGAAAAATTAATACCGGAGTTTTTTATTTAAAAATAAAAAAAGATCTTTATTAGTTTGCCTTTGTTTTGTTCTTGGTGAATTATTACTCCTTGAGAAATTGACAAATTAGAACTTTCTTTCTGCTATTGATTTTGTGATATTGTTCATAATTGTTAGTTTTGCAGCCGAACTGTCGGGTCATTTGCTTCTAACTTCGGCAAGCAACGGAACATTTGTACAGTTATAGCTTAATTATTTGGTATGACTTGATTATTCATGTTCCTTCAAGGGTGCAACTTACATTCTTTCTGGAATTGTACTTCTATCGTTTCCTTAATTCATGTTATGCCCACCGCCTTGGTTGTGAGATCAGCTGTCGGAGTGACGAATGACCTTGCAGTCGCTTAACATTACGTAGCAAAGTTTAATTAATTTTTCTTCTCTCTCAAATGTAACTTGCTATATCTTTCTCAGGAACATGCAACATCGCCGAAATATTGTTAATCACGCTTTTGCAATAATTGTTTTCAGTCGAAAATGGTGAATAGGAAAAAAGAATGCGTCACAAAGTGATGGTTTGCGCGATGGGAGCTCGTGGTTATGCTGTTTGTTCCTTTTCTATTAGTTTTGCACGGATATTTTGTACTATACACCATGTTTAATGCTTAAGTTCATATTATACATTGTTGAAATACATATCTTCATTTTTATATGTTTGACCTCAACCAAAACAACCAATTTTATGTATTTCCATAATATTTTTTCGTAAATTGGACTATTTGTAACAAAAAGGGGGAAAAACGAATCAAAAAATGGGCATTCGGAGATAGAAGACAAAAAATTAGATGAAAAGGACAAGGAAGGGAAGAATGATAAAAGAGTGGTTCTTTTAATGTCTCATCACAAAGATTCTAAGCCGGAAGTGGGACCTAAGAGTCAGTAAAGTCTCTCATATGCACTTCTTTACCATTTATTTTATTTAGAAATTCGTTAACAAAAATTTTATTCTTATAAGAAAAAGTAAAAGTGCTCACCAAAAAAAAGAAAAAATCACTTCACATTTCTTTTATCGTTTCTCTTTGTGTGTGATTAATCTTACACACGAGTGTTATTTTTGGGACATTCATGGCTTTCCTGTTAACTGCTTTCTGTGCTCCGGTAAGCGTTACCGATCATTTTTTGATTAAGTCTGATGTTCTAATTAATTTCATAGCTGTCAATAATTTTTTGTTGCTATTAGCGTTCAAATTATTTGATATGTCAGGCAAGTTGCGTTACGTGATTCCACAATTGAGAGCGAAGAGTCGTACCACAAGCTCTACAAGGAATTTCAGGAACAAAATGGATAATATCAAAAAAAGCTCTGAAATTAGGTACATTTTGGAGTGAGGGAATTAGTATTTAGTAGATTAAAATTTTGACCATTTTTAAATTTGGTGCTTAAATTAGATCTCAAAGTCCAGCTATTCGTTTTGATTTTGCACTTTAATTTGTCAAATCTTCAAACATCCAGTTATTTTTCGAAAGTGTGGACACTAAAAATTTACTGGTCATATAACGTATAAATTCGTCCCGTGCTAATTACTAATGTAACTGGTTTTTAACGACGGTTCCCTTTCTCCCACAACAGCACATCAATATCTGGTGATCATTTGAGGCGCTCTCATGACGGCTATATCTAAGTAACAGCGTAGATTCTTTTTCATAATCATTTATTTCTAAATTTTAGTGGGTGTAGTTAAATGAAGTCTGATTATTTTTGGGTCATTTCTCTCATATATATTTAGTTGTTGATGTTAGATTATGTACGGGCTAATAAAAGTATGCTAAAAAGATATACCAGTAGACTCTTGAGTTTAACAAATCTTTCGCCCCTATTACAAAGATATATCCCACAATTCGTCGTAGTAATCTGCATCGCCTGTAGAGAGTAGATCGTTATCATATTTAGTTAATTTTATAAAAAGTTTTGCTTGATGCTATTATACTGTCTTGAAAAACCCTGATACAAAAGCCACTCAATTTACTCTGAATTTTTATGCACAAATATTTGTACATGTGATAATTTGGCAAAGTTGTTGCAGCATATAAATTTCTTTTTCGAAATTCGCCACCTATATTTTAAGTAAGATTTGAAAGAAAATTCTTTATTGCTTTAAATAAATGAACCTTGAAACTTGATCTAGACATTGGTGTACCAACACTTTTCAATCGCTCTTGATCATAGAGTAGGAAGGGACAAATTCCTCCAGCTTCTGTATTAAATATGCTGAATTTGCTACAGATTATAAATCAGGAAAATGCCTGGCTGTTTCTTGGGTCATTGTTTTGGATTTGAACTGGCTACGTATCAAAACATTCCTTTTACCATGTTATCCTTTATCGTTGACAATATTGCAAGCAGTATCCTGGTTTCTGGAATTCACTGTTTGTGATAATGTTGGTTTCTGGTTAGAAATATCTGAGAGCTGTTGGGAAATGAATTTTTGTTGCTAATAAACCATAGCAATTAAAAACATCTCTCATTTTTAAACGAATATTAATATTAATCTTGCCTCAGATCCTGTAATTTCAGTTATTGCGTAATTGCATATTGTCTCACCATTTGATGCCATCACTTGTAACAATGCTTCCAAATCATTTTTTTATAAGCTAATGTTTTTTTGAACAATGATGTAAAAAAAGTGAATAACATAAGCTATAGTTTGTTTCAGAAATTACATAGCTGTATCAGAGTTCGAGCATTTTCTTAAAGTTAAGATCATTCTTACATACAATAAAAAAGAAAAAAATATAATGAGAAGCAAGGAAAGAGTGCTTCAGAATATTTCTGAATTGGATTATTTCGTCAGTAAACAAGGAACTAAAATTTGAATGGAAATTAAATAGGATCAAGATTAGGTTTAATTGAAAAAAAAAAAGAGAATCAGGATTTTGCATAAAATTATAAATTTGCAAAAAAACATTTTTTATCACACAAATAGTGGTCCAAAGGTCTACAGCTTAGTTGTTGAAGGTTATGAAGTAAGAAGTGATATAACGCTTCAGTTGGTTTCGAAATCTTGATGAATTAATAAAATAGGATATAACTTTGCCGGGATGATATACCAGAATTGAATTCTGCTTTGACATGACACGTTTTGCTAGATTGATAAAAAAAGTAATATAACATATACGAAAGGATTCAGACCATCATATATCATACTTTTGAAATTTTACAAAGAATTGAATTCCCGCTATCAATTTTTTATCATTGTTTCCGACTTTTAATTTATGATGAATGTTTAACAAGCCAAGCTTTTTTTATCGTTTTTAGAACATTGAAAATGCTCAGCGATCGATAAAGCAAAAATTCACTGTATTAGGAATCACAAAAGAACATAACCGGTATATACGTCGGTTATTTCTGTTTTGTATTAGAAGTAGAAAATGGCGATGCTTCGCTGAAGACAGCGTTTTGAACAAATATGAAAGAATTTTTCTGATGCCAAAAGTTTGAAAATGATCATAGAGCATCCTAGAGTGGTATTATATTGTGTCGTACTTTAACAAACCTTTTTTTCTGGAAAAATAACTCTTAAAAATGTGTTAGAAGTTCGCCAGAATGTCTCAGTGCATAAATATATTTTCGTTTGACATGAAATGGTTGAATATTGGATGTTAACTGAATAATTTCATACGTTTTTATCAATTTCCTTCACTGTTACAAAGTTAGAAATTCTTTCTTTGGCGTATAAATAGCCAGTTGTGATGTCATAAGCAATTTTCATCACATTAAAAATTTATTTTGTCTTAAAATTAAAATATCTTTTCCAATTAACTCATAACAGTAAACCTGAATTATCAGCTGCATTATTGATGGTACTGTGTGAACAGTTAAATTTTTTCTCAAAATGGATCTTTCGTTTTCTGAAAAGCCATCAAATCCAAACGTTTGATATTTTCAATGAATATTAGCATTGAGTAAGGAAAAAAAATTTAAGTTCAACTCTAATTTATTTTACAAATGTGTATTTTCTTACTCCAGCATTTGCTTCATGTGAAATTGTTCAGCTTCGAACATTAGGGAATTTAAAAATCAATGATCTATATGCGTTTGGCAATATCACTCTAGACTGTTCTAATCAGGAAATGACTATTAAAATTAGATCATTAAGCAGCAGCACTTATCGTTTTGTTTATGAACAAAACGATAAGTGTCACACTCTAAATACGAGTTTCACGGAGCGCATTTTGAACCCTTAGAATGCTAATGAAATTAGAAGTATAATGCAAGGAAAAAAGTTCTTAGTATGTTCAACAAAAGAATAATTAGAAAATTAAGTTTTTTCACAAAAAGGGAAATGACTATTAAAATTAGATCATTAAGAAGCATTTTTCACGATGATGAAACACAGTAGAGATGCAAACGAAGAGTGAGGAAATTTTTTGAAATTTATGGTTACAGTTTTCATTGTAAATTTGTTTCATCTATTTGCACGTAGTGAAATTACTTACATTCCATCCATTTTCTAAAGATGCGGCGCAAAAATCGGAGGTAAAAAAGGAATGATCTTCTAGCATACATGTAAAGCGTTTAACAGTTTAGTGATTTTACATAAAATTCTAAAATCTGCTTATCATCCATTTTTGAAATGAATCCATTCATAGCAGTATAATTAGATGTTATGAACTCAGTGGTCAACATAACTTTTCCTTTCCTAAAACCGACATAAGAGTTTAAATATTATCGCTTTTAGAAGAAAGGTTAACTGATCTGGCATATTGTTAAGGAAATAATGCGTTAATTGCATGCTGTAAAATTCTAAAAGCAAATGGTTAAACAAATGCTGCTAAGACTTGAAAATTTCATCTATGTTTAAACGATAACTCTACTGCTTTTCAAGTATCATACTTACTCCTAATGAAACAAGTTACTCAATTTCCATAAATTTATGGAGCCACTTGGTAAATTTGCAGCACGGTTGACTTAAGCAGTTCAATAAAAAGTTAAAACCATAGAAACATTAAAAAATAGATCCGCGCTTGACTGCATTGAAATTTGTTACTAGTTGGAAAAGCAGTTTGTCAAATAACTGAAATTGACTTGTGATTTCTTTTTCACAGAGATAGTACTTGAATTTTAAATTAAACAATTTATCTAGGTTATCTTTTCATGTTTCCTTACACATACCGATAAGCCGAGGTAATAGTAGTAACAACGGACCGATCACACATCAGTTTCTTTTAATAATATAGGTACAATTGCAGCAACATCACCCGTTGATGGTACCAACAAACGATGGATACAGTTTCTACGCCGATGAAACATACGATAATACTTTCCACCCGGTTTATCATAACTCTTGTTCTGCATAATATATCCATCCTTTTCCGTAATGTCACCAGGCAGTATCTGAATTTTAACTTTTGAAAAAGTAAGGTTAAATGAAAACAGTGGATAAGATTTTAGGTCATCAAAAGCTTAAAGAGACTTATAAAATTTTTTGCTAAACGACTTAAAAGTTCAAGAATTACTTTGATATTATTGCTTTTCACTAAACGCTGCACTGTTGGACTCAAAGGTTCATAGA